CTCAGAATCAGAATCAGAAATACTTTAATAATCCCAGAGGGAAATTACTTTTGTTACACGCTCCAGTTACAGTTATATATATATATATATATATATATATATATATATATATATATATATATATATATATATATATATATATATATATATATATATATATATATATATATATATATATATATATATATATATATATATACACACATCCAACTACACAAGATAATAAAGATAAAAATAAAAATAAAACAGAGATAAAATATATACACATATAGCTCTTCTGTATATATATATATATATATATATATATATATATATATATATATATATATATATATATATATATACATACGCATATGTAAAAACTAAATCCAAGTAAAGTGATACGTGGAGTGCAAAAATAGTGCATAAATGTAAACTACGGGGGCGGGGGGGGCTAAATCACATGAGGGAGGCGTTATAGAGATTGATGACCACAGGTAGGAATGATTTCCTGTGGCGCTCTGTGGTGCATCTGGGTAGGAGGAGTCTTCTGCTGAAGGAGCTCGTCTGCTGGACCAGTGTGTCATGGAGAGGATGTGAGTCATTGTCTAAGATGGAATGAAACCTGGACAGCATCCTCCTCTCTGCCACAGTGGTCAGTGTGTCCAGCTGCTCCCCCACAACATCACCGGCCCTCCTGATCAGTTTGTTTAGTCTGTTGTTGTCAGCGACCCTCAACCCACTGCCGGAGCATGTGGCAGCAAAGAAGAGCGTGCTAGCAACAACTGACTCATAAAACATCCTCAGCATCGCCCCACAGATGTTAAAGGACTTCAGCCTCCTCAGGAAGAATAGTCGGCTTTGGCCTTTTTGTAGACCGCCTCTGTGTTTCTAGTCCAGTCCAACTTATTATTAAAGTACACTCCCAGGTACTTATACTCCTCCACAGTGTCAACAGGAACCCCCTGGATGGAAACAGGGGTCACAGGTGTTTTCTCAGGGGAGAGCGCGTACGCAGTCCCCCACTACCACAAATCATGCAGTCGAGATTCCCACATTTGGGGAATTTGCAAAGGTCAGTATGCCGGGGTGCGATGGCCAAGCCTCACTCTGGGTGAACCTCCTTCATGATCAAGGTATCGCCCCTGCCAGGTAAGTATATAAACTGAGGACAATGGGAGTCTTGATACTGAGGTTTACCAGAAACCTGCACACCTGCCTTTTAACTTGCATCTATTGGAACAAGAACTTTCTGTTATCAGAAATCTGAGTTAACAGGCTGAGAATGTTCCCTCAGTTATAGAAAAGAAATGAAAAGACCACAAACAGGAAATCACCTAACGCATGTGTTTATCCAAACTAAGCATTTGTTAAGTCGGCAAAAACAACTAGCAGGAAGAACCACATTAGAGAACAGAGGCTACGATCATCCTGCAGACAAATGTGGCCCAATCCAATTTTTTTAGCCCTGAAATGACTCAGGTGGGATTCTTTCAGGACTGTATAAATATGGCAAGTCACATCAAATTGGACTTGTTTCAGTTTGATCTGGGCCACATTTGTATGTAGTTTTGAATCCGTCACAGGTTTTTTGAAATGCGACTGTGGACTGAACAGCTAGGTGACCCATATCAGAATTAGTATGGCGAAGATGACCCTCTCTACTGACAGCAAGCAACAAGAACAATTAACATGAACATGGGCAGCATAGACATAAGTGTACGGTGGAGGGACAATGAAATGTTGGAGTTAATAAGTATCAACTCCAAAAGAAACTTGAGGGGTCATACCATAACAGGTCAGCTGACTACAACGCTGCACCAACACATTTCTACTCAAAGATGTTGCTGCCACTGCTCCTCAAAAAGCCCAAATTAACAGTTTAGCTCTTTTTTCTCTTAACTCTCCTTTAGTGCATTGTCTGCTGTATCATCCAGTTACCTCCACTGCTGAAAAGCTTTAAATGCATCAATAGAAACACCCTTGTTTATAGATGTTGGAGATCGGCCTGTTTTCCAGAGTGGTCCTGTTTCTCTGACCGTGACTGGCTGGATGTGCTCTCTTCGTCCTCTGGCATGGGAGCTGCCTTGGAGCTTGTCTGCCTGGCTGTGTGTTTCCTGGACGGGGCCGCCTTTTACAGCTGCTTTTTGTATCTCTGCTTCTGTCTCCTTGAACCCCAGTCGGCCTCGGCAGATGGCCGCTCACACTGAGCCTGGTTCTGCTGGAGGTTTCTTCCTGTTAAAAGGGAGTTTTTCCTCTCCACTGTCGCTACAAGCATGCTTAGTGTGAGGGATTGTATTTGAGTCGATGCAATCAACTGGTTTTCCTTAGATAAAAAAACCTTGTATCAATTTGACTGTATGATCTGGTTGAACTGTAAAGTGCCTTGAGATGACATGTGTTGTGAATTTGGCGCTATATAAATAAACTGAATTGAATTGTATTGAATTCTGACATGTCTCGTTATCGCATATGGGTTACTTCAGGGAAATAATTTGAGATGGTTATGTGAACAGCCATACAATTTGGATCTGACAAAAATTTGACTTGAGCAGTGTTAACATAGTCAGAGAGAGAGACACTTCCATAATTCCGTACTTCCATATATGTCAGGAATTACTGAGAAACTCAGAGGATTTTCTTGAAAGACAACATACTGGTGAATTTCAAACACAACATCACACCGACAAAAAAACTGGTTCATCTCAAAGACAGAACACCCAACTTTGTTTCTGTGATCCAGTGCAGTGAGGACTGTACAGCCTCCTATATGGGAGACACCAAATAACACCTAAACAAATGCATGGCACAATACAAGAGAGCCAGTAACTTTGGGTAAGCTGTACAATTGCATCCCAAGAACAAAGGACAAACCGTTGAAGACAAAAATGCTCAGATTTTAGAAAAAAAGGATAGATGGTTTGAAAGAGGGGTGAAAGAAGCCATCTTTGTGGAAAGGGAAAAGCCATCACCGAACAGACGGAGAGGATTGTGGTTTCAGCCTCCAATGGATGGTAACCTGACTCCGCCAGATGGATTTGCTCCGCATATCCATCTGGAAACCTTCCGTTGAAGTAATTTTGGGAAGGGGCGAAAATACTGGTTAGCTGATTGGCCTATGTTGGTGATAGACAGGCCAAATAAACCAATCAGATCAACGAAGCATATGACGTAACAGAGCGACGACGAAGAGGAGCCAATTGATAGATCAAACTCTTGCCGAAACTAGTCGGGAGAAGAGCAAAAACATCTTTTCCTCTGAGAAAAGCCTCCAGAGCAGTGCATTGCTCTTCTTTCAGTGAAGAAATACAGTGTAATTCCGATAAAACTTGCTCGATAGCCACGCTAACGCTAGTTTCGTCGGCTGAAGCCGCCATGTTCTTTAGACTGAACTGTCGCGCTTCTCGTTGTGTCACACCTCAACCCGCCTCAAAGCCAACGCTGATTGGATGTTCGTTTGGTGAACGGCTCCAAATTTTCTTCAACGGAGAGTCTCCAGACTGATTAGCGAGTGAAATCTTGAAAGCTCGCGAGATCAGGATGGTCTCACGAGGCTACAGTAGATGGATGGACCTCCTTGCTGCTTAAATTAATCAGCACTCCAACTACAGATTACTCTGTTCCGACCTTTCGGATATGACAAAAACAACTGAATAGCGGTTGAAACATCCTCAAAATTCACACAGGCATACCTTAGATCTCATTTTGAGAGAGGTCAGTGAAGCTGTTAGATTGTCTGTGTTTTAGAATGTCAAGAAGGTTTTCCATAACTAAAGCCAGACTGTTCTTGTAAAATAAGTTTGTCTCAAAACCAAGTTTAATTTGGACATCTGTGTGCCAATGTGGCCCAGAGACCAATAATTTGTTTTGTTTTGTTTTATATACAGTACAAGCAATGATTTCTGCATGAGTAGTGATCCATCAATATAAAAAATATACAAATTTTATCAAGAAATTGTATGTTATGGTTACTGTAATTATATAGATTTCATTATATATACAGTAGTATACTATATAGCTACCCTTGGTCAGCCAGCCTTGGTCAGCTGTAGCCTCTCCCTGTCCAGGCGCTGTTTCCCTGTCAGATTATAGCTAATTTTTCATCATATCTGCCTTTATCTTCGATAGTTTTTTTTTGGTTTTCATCAATTATTATTACTCATGTGTAAAATCTACTGAGATCACTGTCTGAATGTCGACCCCTGTGGTTGCTAAGCAATGCTGATAAGACGGAGGCTATCATTGAAAAGCAATTATGGATAGCATTGTAATGATTTTACCCTCGGAAGTGTGACATCATTGCAATGCTATTCTATCCTCCCATGTTTTTTCAGTCAAAGATAAACAATAATATTAAGCATTTATAAATACATTAATATCATCACCACAGAATCAGTACAAATCCAGGGCATTTTTGGTTTCTCTTTCCTGGCATTTCTGCTTGATTTACAGACCTAAACCACACTACTAATGCGATTTTGACTTAATTTATAGAGAGGTGAAATATAAGTTGCTGAAATATCTTACAAATACTTTTGAGTAAATCTCTAGTTGTTTCAACAGCAGTTATTAGAATATTCACTTGATTAAAACTGTATTATTTTATCACTATCTAAGCAAAATCAAATATCCTCTCTGGTTACTGTTATCATTTTTGAGGAAAGTTCATAGAAAAGTGAGTAGAGGCGACTGATCTTCCATTAGGACTTAGAACCATGGTGAAGAGACTTTAATAAAGATTTTCTCATTTCTGTGGGGCTTCATTTTTCAACAAGTGTTTTTTTATCCGTTTTTCCAACTGTGATCAAACGTAATAAGAAAGTGTGAAGAGGAGGAACTGCTTGCTTGAAAAGGGGCCAATATTTCATGTTTTATTCAAATGTTTAGACTTGTTTTGATCCTATAACTCATGTCAGCCCAGTTCAATAAAAGGCAATCAGTGGGAGAAACTGATCTTATATGGTTTTACAAACATGAAGATTTTTATGATGGGTAAAAGTCCACCTGCAGCTGTAACAGCCCACAGATAAGGTGGAAAGACTGGAGACACACACGCAAAGAGCCCTTCATACAAGATGGACAGAGACAGAGAAATGAAAAAAATCATCAAACACTTTTTTGTTAAAAGATCCTTAATCTGGCTGCTTCTGGTTCTCCTCCAAGTATCCTACTCAGATCAACGTGAGTTCTCTTTAATTGTATTCATATCTCTAACAAAGAACAATAATTTAAAATAACTCTTTGGTCATTCATGTTGACAGATTCTTAAAGTTCCTTAAATCAGTTTGAACTTGTAACTTGAACATTTCGAAGAAATAAAAGAAACTGAAAAACAAGATAAAGGTTGGTGGCTGGAACAGGAAGTAGCATGTCCTGGAATGATTCTTTGGACAGCTACTTGGAAACGTATTGAGAGCTTGTGATAGCTCACAAGCTACATTTTAGAGACTCCTGCTTTTGTCCCTTTTCTATCTTGGTATAAATATTTTGCTCTTAAGGGTCAGTAAATTCCAACCTGGTCCCATGATAGGAGACTACTGCTGCAAAAAATCCATCTGGGATATTTCCTTATGGAAAAATATTTCACAGTCAGATGACATACAACAAGCTGAAAGCAACTAAAAGATCCAAACTCAGCCAAAAATGGCAAATTATTAGTAAAAACAAACAGATATTACATTATTATTTACATCCGCAATCTTTACTTGTGTTTCATTCTCTTATTTTATGTGTCTAATATATTCTTATCACTTTCATGTCATCGTACAGGTCATTTAGTATATAGGTCATTTAGTATCAACTAAAATTCAAAACAAAACAATGAACAAATAATTTCGATAATTTCTCTTTGTTGTTTTTCCTTTTTTATTTCTGGATGTTAAATTAGTCCACAGACTCTGATCTTAATTCCAGTTCTACCATGACAAACCGCAGACATAAAACAGAAAACAAAGCTTGGGTTAAAAATGAAGCTCTATTTGTTACCATACCCTAGAATCTGAGTTTGTTTTGCTTTTCCATTGTCTTCATTCAGCTTCAAATAACGGAACAAAAAGTAGGTCCAATGTGCTGATATGAGCTTTGTTCTTCTCTGTGTTGATTTTCAAAATGGCCGAACGGTGATGATGATCCATTGCAGCCAGCATTTAACACTTAGCAACAAAAAAACAAATGTGCTTTAATTAAGCCCATCTGCGTTAATTAGGTTTACGTCTCCTAAAAGAAGCAGGAAACTGCAGTGCAGGCCACCAAATATACTTAGAAAACTTTAACTATCCAATCCATTTAATCAAGATAGAGCAATGAAAAGATCATTCCCTCAATCATTAACTCTGCATCTCTCTGTTGTCTAGTTAATTTTCCACCGGGTATCAAACGTCCTTGCTGTCGACTTCCAGTAGAAAACAATTTGAAGAATTCTTTAGCCTTTTTTTTTTTTTTTTTATTACTATACTCCATCAGAAGTCAGGTCCTATGAAATCATCCTACTGCACACAGTACCTAAAGACGTTGAGGTCAAGGGTGAGAAATTCTAGGCACTTTTGGAGGCAAGCCTCCCTGGAAATCTTTTGAATAAAAATTTTTAAATCTGGCCTTTACTATTGTCATTATTTCCCTTCCAGGACCTTCTAGTTTTCCATTTTCTCTTCCCTTCTCTTCATCTTCAATTAAGGAGCCTGGGAACTGACATAGGAAAAATATATACCGTATATAATATGCACACGACAAGCTAATATGTGCCCACGAAATACTAATTTGTTTGCTCGAAAAACGAATTTGTGTGCAAACTAGTTCTCATTATGTAACATAGCTAATGTGGACACAGAAATAAGTAAACAAAATTCAAAAATATTATCCTCCTGCAGAGCACATTCTGTAACAGAGGAAGTGAGGAAGAAACCAACAGGACAGACTAGGATAGTCTGAGTTTTATTTTAGGTGAAGGATAAACTATAGAAAGACTCTGATTTTTCATTAGTGAGGCATTTAAATAAAATATTGACAGCGAGCTATGAATGATTACAAGATGTTACGGTGTGTGCAGGACAATGCTGTAAAATAACACCTGTTGCTGTCCTATCAGTGCTTGTTTTGAACACTTCATATTTCAGCTTAAGGTCCAGTTAAAGGAGGAAAGAATGCAAATATGTTCATGTGATAAATGCAGATTGATTCAGTTAAGCAGCAAAAAAGTACATTTGTAACGGTGTGGGATATATGACCTATATGTGGAGAAGATGATACAGAGGAGAAGAGAACGGACCTTCTCTTTTAGAGTGAACAGCTTTAAAATGACAGAATAAAATACTAGGACCTATCGCCTTAGATGACTTGGAGCCTCAAATGATCTAGAAGTCACTGAGTGGCTTCTAGATCATTAAATGGAGACGAGTTTCATCAAACCTCCAGTGGTCAGAGTTTCTTTCCATCTGCAGCAGCGCTTTACACACACAGGGCCTTTTTACCTGTCATTACGCTCATCCAGGCACTGTTAGCAGTTTGCTTCTGTTCTCTACTCATCTGAACTGTTACAGTTTATAACCTTTGTCTTCATCATTCACAGCAGCAGTGATATCTGGTTATGTCTTGACCAGAGATCATTAAAAAAAAAAAAGATTTTGACAGTTTAGTCTAATTCCTTTAAGTGGTATCTTTTCAAAGAGGTCTAACTGATGTTTCTATGTTGAAGTATTTACACATGCTGAAGGTGACTGTGTGAGCAGATGCTTTGTCTGTGGTCTGGTCGAACGTACATAGACTTTGTTCTGCTCTGCCTTTATCCCCCAAGAGAAACGCTCTAAGGGTGAAGCCTATAGGCTTACCCCTTACAGTTATGGTCCTCACTGGTTTCTATAGCGGAGAAAGGGCGGTTTGGAAGTCCATTATCCGGTACCAATTGTCTATAATGGGCCACTCAGCAGGTGTTTGTGAAATTAAATGTAGTCATTGCTGCGCTGCGGAAAGGATGGACATGTAGGGGAAAATGCATGACTTTAGATTCTAAAGGGCATGATTAAAAATGGAATTAAAAACCTGGGAAGTAAGGCTACACCCCCAGATGTTTTTAGAATGACATAAATGCCCATATAATGCCACAAAAAGTTCTCCATGTGCACAAAGTAGTATTTTGTGGGAACGTTATATATTTTTCCCCCCATGTAAATTCCCTGGCTCCGTATTCAGTAAGCTGCCTGTGCTTTTCTCTGTCTCTATTCTCCTGTCTCGCCGGACATTTCCAGACATTATAAACTTGAGTTTTATGTCATCTTTCTTTCTAAACTTCTATCTACTACTGGTTAGAAATGTAACACAAAAGTCTAATATAGATTAAATAAGTTGCTTCATATTTACTTCAATATTTAAAATATAAATCATTGCCCCAATGTGCTTTGGAGCATATTTCTATAATAATTTTACCCAATACTTTAATTATCATTGTATTAAACATCTGGCTTTTAAAATGTATTCAGTTCCGGTACAGTTTCTACCTTTTGTACTACCTGCTCTCGCTCTATCGCTCTCTTTACTGCTCCTTTTGCTGCTTGGCCCAGATACGTGCTTGGTTTGACTCAGCCTCTCCTCCCTATCCTGTTTTCCCTTAAGAGAAGAATATCAACACAAAAACTAAACCAATAGAAATGAAACTGATATGCCATTTTAAAATGTTTCAATTAGTTTTAAGTTCTGAGGCTTTGTATTGGACAATTTTGATGACTCTTGAAGTAAGGCCAAGTTACCACAGAAAATGCTTTATCATTATCATTATTATTTAGAAAATTAACCTGACGTTTTATTTATTTTTTTACTCATGACTTCCTGTCCTGCACAATTTGCTCTGTGCCATCTTGTTGAGTTTTTTTTTTTTCTTTTTTCTGAAAATATGAAGATTAACAGACAAACATGGCTGCATAGAATTAGTTTCTTCAAGTATAGCCAGGGGGAGCATCTCTTAATACAAATAGGAAATATACCTGCAGTGTAGTCTGGTAAAAAGAGTTATTCACATAAACATTCAAATACATAAAACAAAATAAATAAACAAATAAAAAATGATGATAAAGGACTACAAAATAAAAACAATTATATAAAATAAAATTATAATAAGAAAGAATAACATAAGGGGAGAATTCAGTCTTTGTTTAGCTGTTTACTTCTATTGGGAAGTGTTTTAGGATATCATATATTTCTTGTGCTTTAGGACTTTTCAGAATGTTTAATGATTTTATATATAGCTTAAACTCATTTTAAACAACAAGTTTGGGAGATGATTTAACAATTCTACATTTATGAATGAAACATTTTGCTATACATACAATTGTATTAGTGCAAAGCTCATCACTTTTACTTTGCAGTATTAGACCAAAAGCTACATCGTCTCTGGAGATAAAGGTTGGGAATGAAGATACCTGTTGTTTAATCCATCTCTGCAAATCACACCAAAATGTCTGCACCACAGAACATGAGAAGAACTCATGGTCTTTAGTTTCTACTTTATTTTCATAGAACCTATATGTGTTATCATCTATACCAAAGTCTCAGTAATTCTTTAGAGAAGTAAATGTTCATTATTTCGAAGTGTGTTTCTTTCTCCTTTGTGGACATAGGAAGTGTTAGATACATTGTTCTTAGTTTAGATATTGAGTTTTTATCAAATTTTTGTAGGATGCTATTTTTATTTTGTCTTACAGGGTAAGTTATTCATTTAAAATTTTTTAAATAAAATGGTTAGTGCATTTTCTATCCATAATAACATTCCCTTGAATTGATAGAGCAGCTAATTGGTGGTGAATTGGATGACATGCCAAAGTATTTTTGGTTAAAAAGACAAATAATTGGGGTAGTGCTCTATGTAATTTATTAAAGTCTGACTCTACAGGTTTGAAATTATGGTTATTGCAAAATTTTTAAAATTATAAAAAACTGTTGGTATCCATTAAATCTGCCATGGACCATACTGTATGTTTCTCCCCTACCAGTCTTCAAAGAACAGAGATTTGTAGCGGTGCAGAATATATCTGTTGTTCCAGAGAACAGTTGTGTGGGGTGAGAAGTTATGCACATATAACATTTTCCAGTACAAGAGGATTTGTTTGTAAAACTCTGACAGTGATATTGGCAATTTGTCTACATTAAAGTCCGCTTTAAGAAGAAATTCCAATCCTCTAGTTTTCTTGAACAAGGTCTTTGGAATACAAAACCAAAAGGAGTTGCTGTGTTTGATCCAAGATAAAGATCCATTAAGGCAGTCAAAATCAATAACTTTGAGACCTCCATCCTTTGTGTCTTTAACCATACTGCTTTTCTTTATATAATGTGGTCTGTTTCAACATATCAGTTGCATAGTGAATGTTGAATCAAATGTTAGAAATTAGCTGTTGACTGGAACTGACAGAGTTAAAGAAACTTTCCTCATGAAAATAATTTTTTTTTCTCAGTCATATACAACTTACACTGCTCTCCATCTACATTTGTTGCTTGATGTGCTCCTCTTCCACTGATGGCCATGACTTAGAGACTAACTAAGCGGTAGCTTGTGTGTGGCAGTTCCCATAGCAACAGTGCGTGATGTGCGGCACATGTGTCCAAAACCTGAAGCTACTGTTTAAACAGTCACACTACTTTTGACTCTTCAACACCTCAGTTTTGTGGCAGACCAAGACAATTGTCAGTTTCAGTGTAGTTTATTTTTAGTTTATATCAAAATCAGAACAAAAAGAAAATAATAAAATAAAATACCGAGGGCACGACCATGCTGTCCTCAATGGTAGTTATTGCCCTGGAGGGACTGAGGGACTGAAGCCTGACAGGTGGACGGCGCTGGACCCCATAGAACCCCTGGTTCAATTTGTTTCGGCTGGAGCCCAACTTTAACCCCTTTTATTATTACAACATATAAATAAAGATATATCATTAAAAATGTGTTGAAAAGTTTGTAGTTAGGAGGGAATATTATAAAATGTTATGTTGATATTTTTAGGCTTAACAGAAGCAAAAACTATTGACTGTGAATAAAAGTTAAAAAAAAAACATAAAAAAAAAAAATTTCTTTACATATTTTGTAGCATTATTATTAGCATTATTTTGTGTCAGTAAATGTGGACCTGTCTGCATGTGACCTAAATTTTGTTGGCAGTCATATCTAATCACAGTGGCCTATAAATCATGTGGAATTACTTACCAGCATAAAACTGAGTTGTTTTTCCTGTCAGTCCTGACAAATTGTTCTTCTATTTCAACAGTTTGTACCCCTCCCATATCAGTGGAATTCAAAGAAAACAACAATATTGGTGATGTTGTAGCAACAATCAGTACTGAAACTGGGGTGGAAGTTTCTCTTGTCAACACTGAACTACCATTTAGGATTGAAGTAAACCAGCTGATAGCTACGCAACAACTGGACCGGGAGGTAATTTTGGACTTTTAAACAAGAAGAATCACAACATGCTGGTGCCTTTCTCCAGCTGTCTACAGGCAAGAGGCAGGGTACACCCTGGACAGGTCTCCAGTCCATCGCAGGGCAACACAGAGATAAAAAGGATTAACAACCATTCATGCACACGCTCACACCTAAGGAGAATTTAGAGAAGCCAATTAACCTAATAGTCATGTTTTTTGGGAGGAAGCCCGAGTATTCAGACACAATGCACACAGAAAGCCCCGTGGGCTGGGAATCAAACCCAGAACCTTCTTTCTGCAAGCAAGCAGTGCTACCCACTGCTCCACTGAGCAGCCTTAATGAAAACATAACTTTAAAAATACCACATACTATCAAAAAAAAAACACAACCAAGGAAAGGGGGCTTTTTTGGTCTTTCAACATGAAATTGAATTGTTTTATTATTGTTTTCCAGGTGAAAGATAACTATGCAGTTGAAATAAAATGTAAAAAAGAGCTTCAAGAACGGGTGAGACTATTTTGTCTTTTTGATTGAATAAATTCTTTCCATAAAAAACATAGATTCTTGAGTTGATGTAAAATGAGTTGATGCATTTGGTGAATGCAGTATGGAGTCTCCGCGCTTTATTCCATGTGCAAAGATAGCTGATAAATTTTATTCCATGTTTCCAGACCCACACCATTGTTGTAATTGTGAAAGATGTAAACGACAACCCTCCCGTATTTGCAGAGACTTTGTATGAGGCCAATGTCGATGAGGTAAGATTTAGAAAAATGTTAGAAAAACAAGGGTAAGCCCAAAACTCACATCGGGTCATTAGATTTTGTCCCAACCTTTAAAACCTCACGCTTTGTCATTTTTTATATCCAGATGTCTCCTATCGACAAAACTGTGGGTACCTACCAAGCAACGGACCGTGATGGAACTTCTATCTTCTATACGCTGACATCTGAATCTGTATAACTTCTGCTTTTTAGATGCCATTATCTTTTTCATAAACTTAAGTTTTTTATATCAGTTTTGTCAACATTTATGTCACATTAAAAATGTTTATCTTCTGAATTCTCATTGTTCCTTTTGATTTCTGCAGCCTCTCTTCAAACTGAAGTCACAGACTGTCCCAGAAATACTAGTCAGCGGACTTCTTAATTATGACAAAGTCAAAACTGTCCGACTGACACTGGAAGCTCGAGTAAGTTTTCTCTTTTTACTTTCTTTTTACCAGACAGTTTGTGGGATTGCTAAGGCAGGGAGGCATCTATTTTTTGCAAAACCAAACCCTGGTTTTTGTGTTTTTGGTCATCTCAGTCTGATATTAATCAGAATGTCAGACAGATTTTTCTCCTTCTCAAACACAGATCCATATTCACATTCTTGCTAGATTTAATGAGGATTATTTGTTGACGCCCATTTACTTCTATTGAATTTCCATCATTTTAAGCCCTTTCTATACCCTTACCCTGACAACCTTAAACCTAACCACTGCCATTGCATATCTTACCCTAAAATAAACCTAAACTCAATTCACATCTCCCTCCTAAAACAAAAAATGGAGAAGAAGAACAGCAAAATATCGTCATTTTGGTACAAACTGTCTGCAGTTTGATGGTGAATTCAGAAAAATGGTCCTCAAAATGGTAATTAAAAACATTTATGTGCTCGACAACCACCATCTTATCGCAAGGGTAGATAAAGAGGTGTTTTAATGGAAATAATATTTTAAACATGATTTGCCAAAAAATAACAAAAATTAAAATTTTGACTTTTACAACAATAGAGCCTTTATTTGAAAGTCAGCTCCCAAAAAATGAGGTTGAGAGAGAGGGGAAGGGTCAGCAGGTTGGGACTAGAACCTGTTGCAGCCAGGTCCCGGACATATGGGCCTTCTAGACAGGAAGCGTTGGGCTCTGAAACCCATTGTTTTCAATGGTAACACCATCTTGCTAGCTGTGTCATAAGTTCAACTTAGTTGAACTTTAACAGCGGCACATGCAAATGCCTGACCAGTATAAACCGTTTCATCAGGCGGGAAGATTGTGCAGCAGAATGGAGGATAAACTAGTCTTGTGTGTGTATTCTTTGACACAAGTTCAAGATTATACAGGGAAATTGGGGGGAAAGTAATGGAATGGAGACAAATAACCAGCCAAGTAGGCGTTTCAGGTGTGTTTTAAGTGAGATCACCGGTCTGGCTCTCCCCAGCAAACTGTCATATTGCTCCACACTTCGCCGAGTTTTCATTCAGTTATTCATTCATTGATTCATTGATTCATTGATTCATTGATTCATTGATTCATTCATTCATTCATTCATTCATTCATTCATTCATTCATTCCTTTCTTTCTTTCTTTTTTGTTAGCAAGCTAGGACATAAAACAGTTGTGTTAAAGTAAGTAAATATGATTAAGAAAATGGCAAACATGATTGCATTTTTTTTTTTGCAGTGTAGCTAGCACAATGTTGCCAAATCCTAAACAATGAAAGTCATTATTGCCTGGCTTAAATATCTCTAGAAATTGCTAAATAATCTCATCACCATTTTTGCATATTTGCTAATGCTTTATTCCAGCCGGGGGAAGGAAAACAAATATCAGCAAGAGGAAAAGGGAATAAAGAACCTCTAAATATGTTTAAGGATGAACTCCATAGAATTTTCTTTAATTCAACCGAAACTAAAACTACATAAATCAATATTATTCTTATCTTAAATTCAACTTAAAGAACACAGTGGAGGAGGCTGTTTATGAATTACATGCAGGGAGGATCTATTTTAATGCAACATTTTTAAAGAGCGAAAGAAAGCTAAATAATATATTATTGCACACCATTTTTTAATTCAGGGGGGCTCAGTGGAACCTATGCAACTCCTGTTCAGCGAGGAAAGATTGAACAGCAGCCACAGCCTGCAGCTGCTGCTTTTGACTCCCAGTCAGAGAATTCGAGAAGGAAGGGGGTCGTTCACAGTAAACTCTGAGTGACTATTTGTGACTATTTCGCATAACATAGGAACTCACAATTAACAATTGAACTTTATTGATCTCACACAAGGAAAATTTAACTCTGAATTTAACCCATCCCTTTGCCATCACGGGGCACACAGGGAGGAAATGGGGGTTAAGGGTCTCGCTTAGAGAGCCAGATTGGCAGTCTGTGGGAGTGAGTTTCAAACTCACAACGTCCGGATTCCAAGCTCTATGTCCTAACCACTAGGCCACCGCTCCAGCATGCAAGTGGGTTGACTAGAGTTGCAAGTCACGTTTTTGAAAAGAAAAAAAATAATAATCAAAGATGTCTAAGAAGTCCATCCATCCATCCATCCATCCATCTTCTTCCGTTTATCCAGGGTCGGGTCGTGGGGTTAGCAGCTTCAGTAGGGAGGCCCCGACCTCTCTCTCCCCAGCCACTTGGGCCAGCTCTTCCGGGGGAATCCCAAGGCCCTCCTAGGCCAGCCGAGAAACATAGTCTCTCCAGCGTGTCCTGGGTCTCCCTCAGGGCCTCCTCCCAGTGGGATGTGCCCAGAACACCTCACCAGGGGGACACCCAGGAGGCATCCTAACCAGATGCCCGAGCCACTCCAACTGGCTCCTCTTGATGTGGAGGAGCAGTGGCTCTACTCTGAGTTCTCCCCAGATGACTGAGCTCCTCACCCTATCTCTAAGGGAGAGCCCAGACACACTACAGAGAAAACTCATTTCAGCCGCTTGTATCCGGGATCTCATTCTTTCAGTCATGACCAAAGCTCATGACCATAGATGACAGTAGGAACGTAGATCGACCGGTAAATCGAGAGGAGATTTACCGGGTCTAAGAATTTTATATATATATATATATATATATATATATATATATATATATATATATATATATATATATATATATATATATATATATATATATATAGACAAAGCAAAAATAGCTAGAACAGCACTGAAAAGACAGCACAGCAGTGCACTGGCTCAGCAATTAATGTGCTGTGAAAGGCCCATAAGGTTTACACTCGTCACATGCCTCCCCTGGCCCCCCCCTTAATGTTATTGGTAGACTGGGAAGAACATAAAGCATTTTTAGTCAGTAAATCGGATGCCCATAACTTTGACAAATTCTTATCAAATTTAAATAGGTCAGTTTGTGTTGTGAACAAAGCCTCCTTGTTTCACAGCTTTTTCGTTAAGAGATTCCTGTATCATTTCCTATCTAAGTCTGCCAGAGAAAAAATGTAATCTGTATGGTTTTTCTTTTAGGATACTCAAGAGATTTCTCCACCAGAAGGCCCATCCTTCACTGCTACCACAACCATTGTGATCACCATAATAGACATTGATAACAAACCTCCAGGGTTCAGACCTTGTACTCCGTATGAAGTGGGTGAAATTGTGGTCTGCCAGAATACAGGTTACACTGGTAAAATTCATTTAAATGAACAAGAGGTGAGTCCTCCTCTGAGACTATAAGATAGAACATAAGTCCAGCCAGTTCCTTGGCACCTCTCATCTTACCTTGGTAAAGGTACAGTGGTACAGTTTCTGTCTTTTCAGACTGGGGCATTGCCTTTGGATCCTGCCTCTCTTCATGCTATTGATGGAGACTCTGGCATAAATGAAGAGATTACATATTCCTTCCTTAGTGGTAAGAAACCTGGATTGTCCCAATATCATGTTTCCCAATCTTGGCAAATTAAGCTAATTCTCATAAATTATCTATTAAGCATAAATTGTTGGTTAATTAAATAAGAAGTAATGGATGAGCCTGTGTTTCAGGAAATGAGGATGGACTCTTTGCGATCAACTCAAACACAGGAAACATCACCATGCAGAGAAAAGCAGATACGTTGGGTCCAATCGTGCTGACAGTTCTGGTACAGTAACTCTAAGAACCATTAGAAGCAAATGTGTTCTTTTTTGGAACGAACCATTGGTTTTTCGGGGGTTTTAAAATGGTGAACTTTAAACTAAGTCTGTTTTCAAGATACAACTTTAGCCAGCCGCCTCTGCACATTGGGAGGGAAGAAACTTGCTGCTTGTTTAAATAAAGGGTTTTGTTTGGCTGAAAGCAGGTTTTTATAATGCTTGTCAGCCAATATGTAACATTCACTAAGGTATGCATATGGCTACTCAATACAGATAGGATCAAATTCGGATAAAAGGCAGTTCCATTTGTGCATATGCACTCATGTGCTGCACTGAGTTGGAAAGAAAACATGCAAGAAACTTCAATGAAGCTGAATGTGCACATTTTATTTTTTCAAAATAAGTTTGCTGATAAAAAAAAAGTCCTATTATTAAAATAAAACCCTCAGTTCTCCATCCTTACAACTATCAGATGGAACCTGAGCAGTGTTAGAGACCAGAAACCAACAAAGAAACCTTTGGTATAAACAATGAAACCCAGCTTCATCTGGACGGGCCATTAGTGAGGAGCTATAGAAGTCCTATTTCACAGTCTTTTAAGTGGACCGGTAAGCAATGGTACACAGAACTATCACTTAATTTTACATCCACTAAACTGTCTCTCCACAATATACAGTTTAGCCCAGCCATGGTAAATGTCAGGTCTTGAGGGCGCTCTCCTGTTTTCAATGTTTCTCGACTTCAGCACAGCTGATTAAGGTGATTGCAGTTCAGTAAAAGCCTGTTAATCAGCTATAAAACAAAATCAGCCATACCGAAGCAGAGAAACTTTTAAAACCAACAGGACAGTGACTATTGAGGACTAGCTATAAATAAAATAACTCTTAATCCAAAGGCTCTATTTGCTTCGTGTCTAGTGAAATGAATCTGACCCAAGTGAAAGCCACAGACTTTTTGAGGGTCAGGAGTGGAAAAAAGGGTAAAAAGGGGCATTTAAGTAGTGGTTTTGGCTTAAATGAGGGCATTTTAGCAATGGTTTATTTGCAAGAGGGCATTTTATCACAGGTTTATTTGCAAGAGGGCATTTTAACACTCGTTTGGGCTTCAATGAGGGCATTTTAGCACTGGTTTTGGCTTCAATAAGGGTATTTTAGCACACGTTTTGGCCTCCAAGAGGGCATTTTAGCACAGGTTTATTTGCAAGAGGGCATTTTAACACTCGTTTGGGCTTCAATGAGGGCATTTTAGCACTGGTTTTGGCTTCAATAAGGGTATTTTAGCACACGTTTTGGCCTCCAAGAGGGCATTTTAGCACAGGTTTACTTCCAAGAGGGCATTTTAACACTCGTTTTGGCTTCAATCAGGGCATTTTAGCAATTGTTTTGAGTTCCAAGAGGGTATTTTAGCACTAATTTTGACCTCCAAGAGGGCATTTTAGCACAGGTTTATTTCCAAGAGGGAACTTTAGCACGCTATGACTTTCAAGAGGGCATTTTAGCACTCCTTCTGACTTCCAAGAGAGCATTTTAGCACAGATTTACTTCCAAGAGGGCATTTTAGCATCGCCTCCATGTGAACGCTACTTTCTGACCCAAACCCAAAGTTCTGGCTCACAATTGACTGGTGCCCCCAAAAACAAAATGATCATGACAAACCATAGGGACTTTTTTTTTACACTTATCCAGATGAACCATATCAACTTGCAGTAAATAAATCAAACAAAACCCTTTACCTTTTTGTTTTTTCCTGGATCTGTTTTAGTAATAAATTTAATCTTTAATGATGTTTGACCTTTTAAACTTTTACCTGGAATGTGTTTCTCATGTAGGCTACTCAGAAGATAAACACTAATCAGTTTGCAACAACCACCGTGACAATCTCTGTCCTGGTGAAGAGCCTTCATAGCCCAAAATTCGAAAAGCCTCTATATGAAGGCCTCATCAGTTCAGTTGGCTCTATGGCAATGGACCGGAATAACAAAGACCAGCCATTACGGGTCTCGGCTTTAGATGAAGACTATGCTGGCACTGGGGTAAAACACTTTTTCTGACATGATAAACCTGGTATGAGCTGAGATGATTCCTACTTGTTCTTTTTAGAGTATCTATTTCCTTAGATGTTTTTTTTTTTTTTTTTTTTTCGATTAGTAAATTGAGTGTTGCTGCTTTATGAACATGGTTTGTTAATTTCAAATTTCTTTCTTTGAATGGTCTGAAATCTTTTTAAAAGCCTACTTTTTAATTGTACATTTCAAGAAAGTAAAATTTCATACAAATATTTATCTGCTGTTATCAGGTCAACCACAAATAGACTTCCAATGTAACACTGTTTATGTTTACACACTATGTCAGGTGTAACACTTTCTTCATTTATAGTAAATGCCACATTATTGCAATGGTTGTGACTGCATTTCCTTACAATAAGATTGTTTTTTAAGAGTTTGTGGTTGACGCATGACATTGAAACTAATTAATGTAATTGAAGAAAAGTATATTGAAAAAAAATCTAAGCAAAAAAAAAACATTTCGATTAACAAATCCCTAAGGGGTCTTTCTTTTCCTGAAAGTATATTTTAGTTGGCAACTCTATTTATTTCCGTGTTTTGTTTAAGTTATGTTGAATAACTAATCTGAACCTGAAAATAAAAGGGCTAATAAAAAAAAAAAAATTATATTACACTTCAGTCAATGGTTACCAGCAACTTTCATTCATTCTTACTTTTTAACTATTATTTCTAAGTACTAGTGCCTTTATTTTGATAGTATGCAGACGGGAAATGGGGGTATAGAGTGGGGTAAGTCATGCACACTAACATGTAATAGCCACATTGAAGGCCAAGCCTTGGTACATGGGTCATGTGTACACAGTCCTATGCTTAACTTTCAATCATTCTCCATGCAAAATAAATACGCTCATGCATTAAGTTTAGTCGTGAAACCCTAACTGATGCAATTCAGTTTCAACAATTCAACAGCTGTTTCTGATTGACTGATTCATATGTGATGCAACATTCGTTTGAGAGTTTCTGCGATTTAGCATTAGCGCTTGAAATTAAAACACAAGCAAAATCAACAACTCAATTCAAGTCTATTCATCACTATCAACAAGGTAAAAAAAAAAAAAAACTTAACCAATACCATAATTTATTAAACTTTTTTATTGAAAGCTGTTTTAGTGCAGTTCTATCTGAAAGATTCAGGTTAGGTTTTGGAATGCTTCACTACATAAGGCTGTTGAACTGCTGGCTGCAGGAAGTATAAAGGGCAAACCAATCCACAAAAACTTTTGATTTTTCCAATAGTTTTTCCAAAATCTCTCATAAGTTTTTGTATTCTAATTTGTCTGACATCACCAGTTAGGAAATAAATGTTTAATTTATCTCTTCCAACAGGGAGTTAACCCCAACATCAAATATTCCGTCCAAGGTAATAGTGACTTTGAGTTTTTTGGTGACGTTTTGTTCTTGATAAAGGATCAGCCAGATGGCATGTATTCACTTGAGGTAAGTTTGAACATGATTGCATTCTACCTGTACTGAATGACTGGTCTTTTTATTGGGTGCTCACATCCATCTATACGTTCCAGATTGTGGCGACAGACACATCTAATGACGAAACAGGTACATCACGGCTCCAAGTTGAAGTGACATCAGGTAGGTTTCAACACCAGCTGAATAAGCCTTTCTCTTTGTGTTTGACTCATTCAGAAAGTAAAGTAAAAGTTCTTATTTTATGAAGGCAAAACGGCAGCTCCTTTCTATTTTAACTTAGTAGCACTAAACACTACTGTGTTCTGTGGTTGGTTTTCCTTCGTGAAGAAAACAATCCTTACCAATGAACGAGTACCCAAAATTAGACCAGGACGTTTCTTGACAATGTGTTGATGTTTACATGCCATTTAAATGCCAAACTGGCCTGTTCTGCTCTCGGTAACCTTCAGCTCATCAGCATCACTGAGTTCATTTGTTCTTTCCATTTGTGGCAGTCAAAGCTACTTAGTTGTGAGCAGTTCAAATGTAGCTTATGTCCGGAGTGAAGCAGTTCAAACAAAACTTCTTCAGTGTGCTCTCCTCTCAGGTTTCACCACTACATCTTTGCCTCAGAGCACTACAGGCTTTGAGAGCACGACAAAGAGCACTACAAAGAGCACTACATCTGTAGAGGAAACCACCAGTGAGGTCAAGCCGACCACGGTTCCCATTGTGTCAACAACTGACACTTCAGCCACCATCGTCACTGCTAGTGCAACATCAGGAGTCTCAACAAGTCGCCCAGGTGGTCCTGTGTTCCTCCCTCAACAACTGCTGCATGATACATTACACTCCATTTATAAGAAGGATTCAACATGCAAACATACATACATACATACATACATGCATATATTTATATGTATATATATATATATATATATATATATATATATATATATATATATATATATATATATATATATATATATATATATATATATATATATATATATATATATACATATATGTATATATATATATATACACATATATGTATATATATATATATATATATATATATACATATATATATACATATATGTATATATGTATATATATATATATATATATATATATACATACATATATACACATACATACATATATATATATATATACACATACATACATACACACAGGGCCATAGAGGCCCTAACAACGATTATAAATCTTTGTTAAAATCACTGTAGTTGTAGATATGAAAGCAAACCAACCACAGAACACTAGTTTTAGTTATTTAGTTGCCAATCAAGTATAATAAGTCGATAAATTGTTTAGATGTGGTTTACAAGTAATCACACAATATTTAACTTTTACTGATTGAAACTAAGTTCATTGAAGTATCTTATCTTTGCAACTGTCGTTTCAGTGGCCCCATCCGGTGGGTTCAGGTCGGTGGACATGGCTGCGCTGGGAGCAACCTTAGGGGTCCTTTTGTTTCTTTGTCTGCTGGTCATTGGGCTGCTTGTTTATCGCATGCAGAAAGGAAAAGCAGCCTGGAAGAAGATTCAAGAAGCCAGTTTGTTTCGAAGCTCTGTAAGTAAAAAAGTAAACAAACAAAAATAAATAAATAGAAAGAAAAATGCAGGCCAACAAGAAACTGGAACAACCAGACATTTTAGTTCAGCTCTGTGATTACCACATTGGGTTTTGATATTTTGAAATTGGGCCACCCTCAGAACTACATTTTTACAGACAAACTTAATTCTAGAGAGAATTTATCAAACCTGGGACCTTCTATCTAATATCACCAATATTTTTTTGTTGTAATGTTAACAAAGTTCTCCCCAAGAACAATCTATTTGTAACAAATCTGAACATTACAGTGTATCTATTAATGGTCATATCTACTGTTTGATCAAGACATTTTTTAGCCAGTACTAATTTCATGCTTATCATATCACATGAAAAACCAACTTGTAGAATTTGTTAAGCAAGGTATTTCTTTTGGCAAATTATAGATCTGTAGCTTCCAAGTCAAGTAATGTACTTCAAACATTGTGGAAAAAGTTGAACAACAATGGATTTTAAATTATCTGCACTGATGATGAACCCCTGATGTCACGAGGAAATAGTAAAAATAGAAGGAATTTTAATTCTATTTATTCATGTTGCACCAATATACAACAAAATTACTGGAAACTATTTACAATAAAAACAGATTAACTTCATGTGCAAAAAAAGACATTTTCAGTTTAGTCAAAAAACAATGTTAGTAACACATTTGATTTTGTATTTCAGACCCTGCAGGCAAAGTTTAATTAGAATTTAAACTGATAAACCTACAAGCTCAGCAGATTATTATGTTGTTCACTGTTCATGCCTTTTTAACTTGCACTAGGCCTCATTCAGAATAGAAGCTCTCGATAATTGCACAGATTTGACTAAAACAATCAGAGAAGAAGAGTTGGACCTCTGTCTGTGCAGAAGAAACCCCAAAACAAATGTGATTCCAACTGTTCTGAGCACTCAGAATGGAGTAAGGCTGTCCATAAATAAGCCTTCTTAATCAGAATATAATTTAATTCATATTGAGTTAAATTTAATCATTACATCTCAATTGTAATGTTCTGATCATGCTTTATATTGAGGTTGGCCCTTTATTCCCAATACATACTGTATATCTATGTAAACATACTATAGTTAATGGAAAGCTAATTGCACAAGGTAATTAACTTTGCACTAATCCAACATACTGAGCATCCAGAAAGTAATCACAGCTCTGCACTTTATTCTTAATTAGTTTTTCTGCTTTATTTCAAATGGTTTTGAATAAATCTATTTTCCTCTAGATTTTACACACAACACCTTTCTAAAAACATGAAAAAAACAGTTTTAAGAGATATTTCCAAATTTATTAAAGCAGGAATGCTCAGTCTGGGTAATTGCTGCAGATTCGGTGACACAACGCAAACCATGTGTACCATCACTAAACCCTAATCTACTAGGAAGGAGCTAATCCTGCAAAGTCAATGACTAGATGTAATTAGCTGGATTCCAATGCATTTGATTAACAAAGTGCCAATCCACAATGTTTTATCTGAAGCCACTTTATGGAGACAATACAGTCATATTGGTTAAAATTTATATCAAGGAAAAGCAGTTGATTGCATTGAGTCATTAACTTGCTATACATGCTTCTCCTGGATGAGTTTGCAGTGACGACTTTCTATTACATTTTGTCATTAACTCTTCAGCAACCCAGTTGAGAAGAAAAAAACCCTTAAATGGGACGAACCCTCCAGCAGAACCAGGCTCATTTTCCAGGTTTATTAAAACTACAATAGCATGTATGCTCTGTGAGGGTGTTAGCTGAAGATTGAAAGAATGCCATGTCTACCATCACTAAATCCTCATCTAGGACAAGGGGTTAATCCTTCATCCTAGATGAGGTCTACAAACTGATGGTTGGAGTTAAAAGAGATAGAAATAAACACATTTAACAAAGTAACTTAACTAGCTCCCCAGGAGTCTCCTTTCAGGCAGACAGGCACCAAACCAGCTCTCATGTCAAAGGATGAAAGAGAGCACATAACCAGATGAACCTACTATGACAAGAAAACACAGAGAGAGCATAAAGTTATGGAAGGATCTGACAAATACTGCAGAATGGGAGAAACGAGACAGAGTGAAGCAGAATTCTGAATAGTGGTCCTCATGTCTTCCAGTATCCCAAACTTATAGCAGCATAAATATTGTAAATAGTATAACTACCTTGGATGAGGTATGGAGAAGGTAGGTTCAAGATAGAAAACTTTTAACTAATCTGTCTGAATGATTTGACTGAACTGTCTCTGTAAAGTGCCTTGAGATGACACTTTGTTGCTATAGAAATAAGCTGAATTAAAATGAGTTAGACAGTTGGACCCTGGTTCCAAAAAGAGGACATTTACCGATCTTTCCATTCAAATGCTGTTAAATTTTAAAACTATCACTACTCTAAGTAAACTCTGCAGGCTTTTATGTTGCCAATGCTTTTAATAATGTTTTTTTTTCTTTATTCTTGTGGTCTGATGATTTTATGCATTTACAAAGATGTATATTTTCCAATGTTTTTTTCAAATCCTTTTACTCAGTAGTACATTCTATTACTACGAGAAAGTTTTTCCTAATAATTGTCCTTATTTTTTTCCTAGAATGTTAGGTTGCACTCACTCCACAGTCATTTATTCTTGTTTATATGTATATATATTTTTTCAATTTAAATATCTAAACCTTTCAACTTGCTATTCACTATGCTGTGGGAACAAACAATTCTTTGCCACTATTTGTCAAAGAATATTTGAATAATTTTTCCAAACATCCCTTGATATTTTTCTTCCCCTATTTGGCCCCCATTCACATAAATTACTAATTTGTTTTAAACATTTATTAGGTGATTATTATTCACTTATTGCCACCGAATAGAAAAAAAGGGGGAAATAAGTACTGCCTTTAAATTTAGGGGATACCCTTTCAATCTTTTCTGATGTAAAAAGTATGTAATATATACTACATCATGATTAAGGATGGGGAAAAAAATCAAGTCACCAGATTTTATAAAATTATGTGAAAAATCTTTTTTTTTGGCACAGCTGGCTCAGAGTTCAAGTGGGCAAAAAGAGGGAATTCAATACACCAATGAGGCTTTCCAAAAAGACGATGATGACAGAAGCAGCATGGGCTCTGGTGGTCCAGAGAGAAGAAGCATAACAACTAGTAGAGAACCTCCAGTGCAGCTATGGAACATTCCCCCCAAAGACGAGATCCAAAGCACTTCATCAGGACTACGCAACCAACTTCCTGACGACACCAGCGACACCAGCTCAAACAGGGCTGACGACGAAAAGGAGGTGAAACCTATCCTGACTAAGGAAAGAAAAGTGGAAGAGGGATACAAGTCTGTCTGGTTTAAAGAGGACATTGATCCCAATGCCAAGGAGGAAGTAGTCATCATACCAGAAAACGCAGATGAAGAAAGTGATGAGGAAGATGAGAAGCCAAATCAGCGAAAATCGCCAAAGGTTCTCTTTGCTGACCCAGACCTGGATAGTGGTCTTGGGGTGAAGTTTGATGATCCAGCAAATGATTCCGAGAGTGACAATGAATTTAATATTGATCTGTGACAAAGTCCAGGTGATTATGTACAGTAATTACAGAAACAATCCACAATAAAACTGAAGTTAGCTTTTAAACATAAAAGTGTTAATCTTATCAGTCTGAGATTCAGTATCTACAAAAGCAGCTAAAGACAGATTTTAAAATGTAAAAAGTGTTGATTATCATGCTTAAAAAGTATATTTTTCTTTCCTGTAAATTAATATAATCGAGTTTATTTTTGTGCAAAAATGATATATGCAGAAAGAGTTGTAGAATGACCAGATTAAAACATTCTTATATTCTGCACTGAGGCTGAGGTGATGCTTATTATTTAAGCTTTCTGACAGTTTTTGTGATGGTAACTTCTCTCTGCAATAAATATTCAACTAAACATCGATTAGTATTGAAAAAAAAATAAAACATAGCAAAGTAAATATCTATAGTTTAAGAATGAACATAATGTTCTAGGAGTTAAATAATTTCCAAAAAGCAGGAAATACTCAGAGACACGTAAGACGAAACCTAAACAGCAACCCGTATATTGAAGAAGAAAAAAGAAAAACATCACAGGAATGGAGATAAATTTAAGCTCATCTAAGCAGTTATAAACATTTATAAGTCTGAACTTTGGTCAAACCAAATTGAGATGTAGGTACACAGACACTGGGCTCAGAGACTTGGACTCAACTTTATTTATCCCTTGGGATTACTCCTTTAGGGAAACTCTGGTTCCAATAGCTTATATAGAATACAAAGGGCAGAGTTAAAGCAAGAGGCCATTAAAGATAAAAAAAATATATAAAAATACAACAGACAATATATATATATATATATATATATATATATATATATATATATATATATATATATATTTATTTATTTATTTTTTTTCACCTCAACAGTGTCCTGTCTGGCGATGTGGCAATAAGAATAATTGTCTTGATGCCAAAAAGAGAGCCCAAGAGATTGTTCTTTCACAAGTTGAGCAGTACGGCTATCGCCATAGTGTTCCGCTTGATTTATGCATATAAATGGCTTTATTATAATTCATGAAGGGAGTGTAACAGATTGTATGGACGCTGCAATGCAAGTAGAACAGGAAAGGAAAAACTGAAAAAAAAGAAAAAAGATTAGAGACAAAAGGGAGATAACGATAAAACATCTTCAGTCTGCTTCATCACCTGCAAAGAGATGTAAAAAGAACAGCACAACCAACGGATATAGTATAAGAGATACAATAAAGTAACACCTTGATACTATCGCTGAAGTAAAAGTAGTATTATTTAATCTGACATGTATATTGAAGTAGCTGAAGATAAGAATATGGGCTTTTTGTATGGAAGTGAATCTCTAAGTACCTGGAACCAAGCACCTGTAGTTATTTGTGAGAGTGCACTTTTGCATGTTAAGTTCATCCAAAGGAAAAATGCTAAATAGTGGTTGTGAAGAGCCGATGACACAGGAAATCCTACCCCCCACCAAGGGAGGAGGCAGACAATACAAAAAGAGTGTACATAGAACAAAAGAGCATGAGAAAAATTGTAACGTCCCAGAATATGTTTCCTTTAGATATACACATATCTGCACAGTAAAGCATAAGGAAAGACTACACAGTAGTTGACTTGGATTATTGGACTTACACTGCAGAAATGTACTGGCCATATTAAGCATATTCAAGCATGTGACCAAAATACCAGTGAGTATTTTTCCTTGCCATGCAGTAGGACAGTGATGATCGGTCTTTGGAAAGAAAACCTTATAACCAATCACTGAAGCTTTAACTGACTTCGTGCCTTCATAAGCATAGAGCCTGATTTGGCTCTTGAAGAGCAATGATGAGTTGAAATTCCTTCTTTCAAGTCTGTTGTTGTTTTCAGTGCTCTTGTAACATCCATATCTCTGGTCAGTCTATCTAATGCAGAACCATCTCATGTTGTCTGGTATTTTTCCACTCTGCAATATGACGGGTTATTTTAGCGTTAAACCTGAACAGTAGGACCAGTTCAAGTCCTGTAAGAGTCTTATAATCAGATTATTTAATAAGCTCAGTCTCCTCCTGCTCTAAACCAGCGTTTCACAACCTTTTTTGACATGTGTACCCCTTGGGCAATTTTTTGTACCATGAGTTCCCCTCTCAGTCAAAAGTATTAATAAACAATAAATAATTATAAAATAAAAACTATTTTCCTAAATCTAGTAAATTGAGCATTTCATTTTTACCATTGTATTCTTTACATCTCAAATAAAAAAAAAATAGTATTAGTATTGCCTGGAAATTAGTATGGAATCAAAATAAACCTGTATTTAGAAAACTGGAGCTCCTCTGAGTAACTCTCTTATAAATACATTTAACATATACAGAAAAAAAATTTGTCAGACTGACTTTATTAGTTTTACATTGTGACTTTATTAGTTTTACATTGTTTTCATCAAGACACCTGAGCTGCTTTGATGAGCTCCTATAGCTGTGATCCACAGTCTGTTCCTCTGCCTGATTTTGATGTGCGTCCCAGCTGAAGGTGAACTAGCAAAAAAAACAAACATACTTTTTGGTTAATAAAAGCTTGATTTTTTTTTTATTGGGTCCTAACAAAGCAGAACAAATCCCAGCCCTATTTTATTTTACTATCTAAGAAAAATATGTTTATGTACCCCTTGCAATACCCTCGTGGACCACTAGGTTGGGAATCACTGTTCTTAACGCATGAGCACTTGGCTCTGGGGGATTAAGGTCTTCACAGATTCATCCCCTCATTTTATTCTGTCTTACCTCCATTTCCTATGTGTAAACCAAGCAGCTTTAACCTGTAAACTTGGCATTACATTTAATATTGCCTTGTAAGCACCTTTTACCTTACCTGATTACCTGGATGAAACTAGAAGTCTTCATATCTTTCACCCTAGAAAGAAAGAAGCAAACTCTTGCACCACCAGGTTCAGCATCACATAAGGATAAAAGGAATTTCAGAAGCCTGGTTGACATCCGTTTTACTTTTTAGATTGACTCTTTTCCTAAATAAGGTGTTTATTGGTTCCGTCTTTATTCTTACTGAACTGTGCCGACTTTTCTAATACATTATATGCACATTTTATATTAGAGCTAAATGGAAACCAATAACAGACAGAAGCAGAATTGGGGTACAAATAACCAACAGGACAAAGTCTGTAAGGAATAACCGTTTTTACTGGAGTACAAAATTAACATATTTTAAGCACAGAAATAATTACAAATGTTTACTCGTTTTTTATCAGTATATTATATAAAACCCTGAACATAAGACAAATACATATTTGCAGGAGTTACCTTGAAAAGACAATATCAAAGTCTAAGACACAGTACGATAAAAAAGTGCAGCAAGTTTTAACACCGAACCAGTAAGCCTGAGAAAAATGACTTAATGAGGCAACACCACATTCAAGTAAAAACTTTTGTTCCGTTCAGCAAAATTAGTGGGGATGTTTTATCTAAAAAAAAAAAAAAAAAAAAAAACTTTGCTCATAACAACAGAAGCCAATACCATTGAACATGAATTCCAAAAAAGTAAAAAAAAAAACAAAAAAAAAAAAAACAAAGGACACTGTTTTCCAAGTTTGGAGACATTGTCTGAAATAGCAGTGAGTTCCATTCTTTAATTGCTTTAATTTGCTTTTGCAAATTGAACCGAAAGAACAAGTCGGCCCTTTTGTGATGGGGAGTCGTTGAGGGCTTTGTTAGCCTCCAATACTCGATACTGGTCTATTACTCTGAAAAAGGGAGTCTTTAGAGGCATTGCTGGCCATGCTGACCAGGTGACATGTCTTGGTCCTCTGGATGCCAATGATGCCTCTAACGATTCCCACTTTTCAGAGGCATAGACCAGTATCAGGTATTGTAGGCCAACAACAACCTTAATGACTCTCCTATACTATGGTAGACCTGTTTTTTTTTTCTTTTTTTTCCGGTTCAATTTGCATGTTTTCTAAGCCAAAACAAGGCTTTGTTGGGCTACTCAATAAAGCATGAAACTCAACGCTATTTCAGACATTTTGAACTGAAAAAGCTTCCTGGATGAGAAGCAAAACTTCTTCAAATTTGGCAAACAAAGTCCAGTGTTTTGCTTTTTTTACTTTTTTTGAATGACTATGACCTTGATGACTTGATAAACCACCCTAAAGCCACCCTAATATCTCCATTAGAGTAGAAGTTAAAAACTAGGGGGAAAGATCATCCGTGGCGGTGTCCATAAATGAACAAGGACAGAAAAGGTAATGTATATCTCCACTTGCTGCATGCATGGTCTGTGTGAGGGACTGCTGCAGAGTTAACACGAAGTAAAATAGGGCAATGATAGATTGGTAAATACAACTTAGAGAATAATGTTTATATACCCCCCAAAAAAGAGGACTGGTTTATTGGATGCAAACTATTGATACTTCAACATACAAGTAAGCAGATTCGTCATCCTAATCAAAATATTGATTTTATGGCGAAAGGTTTTAAAATTTCGTCAAATGCAGACCACATCTTCCAACTTCAAGAGCAACTTGTTATCAAAGGCATGGAGCAGGACGGTAACAGAGGATGCAGGATTTTTGGGCGAGTGTCTTATACAGTCTGCTCCAGGTGGACCTGGAGCACACCGGACAGGAGACTGGGAAGGCGACACCCTGCTCTAGACATCAGCTCCCAGGTTGCAATGCCTGAGTAAATTGGCTAAACCAAAAAGGAATCTTTAAATGTTTCAAACTGGCTGACTAGGCCCAAGTAATATTGGTCATCGACTTCAACTGTCCTGCAGCTTTTGCAAGTGTCCCTTCTCCAATACACCTGAAACAAACAAATGACTAATGGCCAGGCATCTTCCACCAACAGCCAACGAGGTCATTTGGCCTTTTGTTTCAGGTTTGTTAGAGCAGGGATGCACACAAAAGCTGCAGCACAGTGGCACTTGAGGACCAAAGTTGCCTCCCCCTGGTGTAAATTATTTACATTTTCACTAGACACCAAACTTTTTAAAGAAAACAGACCAGCAATTTAAACAAAAGGGCAGGATGTGTTTAAAAGAGCAACTGCTGAAGAATAGAAATAAACTGAAAAAAGAAATAAAAACAGAACTTGCATTAAAGATGTCAACTTGTGAAGGATATTAAAAAGCCAAATGTAAAAAAACTTCCCTGCTATACAATCACACAAATATTTGGCTAAGGATTAGCACTGTAGCAAAACAAATGCAGAGCTATGATGAGAAGGGTGGCACAGAAAATGTTTGTCTGCTTTGGGCCATCTTCCAGTAGTAGGCTGAGTGTCCACAATTGAAAAACTAGTTTGACCGTAGCACATAGCGGACCCACAACTGCACGTCATGATCCCAGCAGTATGTCAGGGGCGGTCTCAAATAGCACCTAAGCACCTAAGCCTCCGGGTTTCTGGTTCCAGCCCTTTCAACCATCATTGTGTGCTGGGTTGAGATGGCATCAAACGCCTCGTCTCTGTGGATCATTGCACCAAAGATCATTGGCTGCAAACAAACAAGCAAGACAGGGGATGAGGTTCTGCTTTAATAAAACAAAAGTTTTGTTTTAGCTGGTATAACTTTATTTTCTTCAGTCTTGTGTGTTATGACAACCTTCATTAGTTTCCTCTGCATTTATTTAAAAAAATGATAACCTTTTTAACCACAAAAAAACCCAAAAGTAAGAAATGAAAAATGTTATGTTCTATTTTAATGTAAATCTAAGATCTTTTCATTTCAAAAACAGAAACTGTTTTAAACACTGTTATAGTTTTTGCATTTGTACTATTTAAAACACTTTATTGGATATCTGAACTCCAAACTCTTCTCCTGCTTGCTTTCATAGAAGGAAGAATAGTCTGAGTGTCCAAACCCAAATTTTCTTCATTTTTTTCACCCTAACTTAAAGGTAAAATGGAGGATTTTTGTGAATTTTTTAAAAGCCCTCTTGACTTAAAAAACAAAAAACAAAAATGCACATGCACAAACCTGTACCCACTCTCAAGAGGGAATGTGCGAGATTGCAGGATCCCATTTTTCCTCATGCACGCTCATACAAGCTTAGTTTCCAAAAGAAGATTAGCAATTTTTCCACTATGTTAGACTCACAACCAGAAATTTTAAATGGGGACAAGCACGTAGGACGGCCTTATGTCAACATATCACCAGAATGATTGGAAATTTGGAGGACCTCTTACATCCTCAACTATATCTTTAAGTAAGTAAAAAAATAATATCTTTTATTTATTTTTATTTTTTTTATTATTTATTTTATTTATATTTTTATGTGACCTATTCAAATGAGGTGTTACTATTTACCTCCATGTTCTGCAATGTTATGTAAAGATTGGATCTACAACCTGGGCTCTGAATTTCCTGCAAGGACCTAAACAAAGACCAAAAAACAGTCTGCTTTTGAACTAACCCAAGTCATTAAACAACTGCAACTGTTATGTTGAGTTGTTTGTCCTCAAACTAGCCATGCCGCCTCCACCCTGCTATTGAGGTTTCCATAACATCGCTACAGGAGTAAAGAGGGTAAACGGGTGGAAGACGCAGTGTGTAAAACATGAACACAGAAGGGGAAAAAAAATGCTTCATGTGGACTGACAAGAAAGGAACAAAAATAACTTATGAAACATGGATTCTGAAACACAACGGCAGCTCTGAAGTCCACCGATGCTGTCTCTCTCAGCGCAGATGTGTTTGTAGCCGGATATGCAGTTAGCGCTTCAAACTTATCCACACTGGTAGAGTCTCAAAAGGTATTTGCTTTGGTGTCTGCTTCATCTAAATTAAACCTTCTATTCCTATTCTGGTAGAAATCAGAGTGCCTTTCCTTTTTATTTATTTCTAATGGTGGGATAGGACTTAATTTGTCATGATTATTTAGGTCGTGTAATGTTGTCAGAAGAACATAAGTTTATAAAAGCAGAAGTTTTTTCTTTTTTTTTTCTTTTTTTTTTTTACAAGCACTGTAGAGTATCAGGATGTTGATCAGGAGCGATCTTAGAACACAGCAAGGAGGGTATTTCACTCAAACAAACCAGTGGCTGAGCTGAGTGACAAGAGGAGATTCATTTTGGTTTTCAGAAAAATCTGTTAAAAAGTCTTATATATTTTACCCACAACTTTCTCCAGGAAGCCATGGATATGCATATCAATAGAGCCACCAGTTTTGTTTGGACATTGTGTTAAAATTCCAAAAAGTAAGCAGCTCTCCAGCTTTAAAGCTCCTCTCCAATGACTCAATGAACTGAAGACATTCTTCAATACGTTAAATTCAGGAACAATCTCAGCATCCCTCTTTTTTGCCTATGTCCTGTCTTCTTCTGCCATTGACTCTCCGGTTTCTATGATTTTGCTGTCAGCCAAATCAGAAATTGGCGCTGCTCCCTCTGCCTTTCACCTCTCTGTCTTAACAAACAATGGAGAGAATGAATCACAATATGTCACAAGGTCCTGAAGGTGTCAGCCCAAGAGTCCTTAAGGCCTATGGAAAGCAGCTCTGTGGGATTCTAAGCACCTCTTCACAAGGTCGAGGCGGTGAGGAAGTTGGGGCAAGTTTGTCCTACAACAGAGGAGCATGACGGCGAAAAAAAAGCGGGGATCCAGGTGAAAAAAGGGTCCCAGCATTCTTGCGTACCTCGATCTTCTAGCTGGTTAAACTTCACGAGTTGTTTTCCGCAACTGTGGTCATAAAAACAAAACAAGTCGGCCTCCTGTCTTCGGTCACCTACAATTTGGGAGAGGTGCACCAGAGTGTCTGCGGAGGGGGCGGGAACGTCTTTTTGTTCACTGTGACACCTACGCAGACGACCTAGTTTTGAAGTATAAATCAGCCAATGTCTGAAGGAGAAGTTCCAGTTTTGTGGAAGACCTCCTGCCTTGTTCCAGTACCAAAGAAGACTCAGCCAACAGTCCTCAATGACTATAGACCTTTTGCCCTGACATCCCACATCATGAATGTCCTGAAGAGACTTCTGTTGGTTCACCTCATCAAGCAAACAAACAGCTATTAGTGAACGCCCTCAGCACATAGGATTTTCGCTGGCCTCCTCCCCGCCCTTCACCACGCAGTTTGCAAAGAGATATTATGTAGATACATCCCTCTTGGCACAGACACCGTGCTCGGTCTGAATGCACCTTAAGACATTTGTTAAACACCTCAGTTTTAATGTAATTCAAAAGTACTTTATTAATTCAAAATGAAAATACACAACTAATTTTTGCTCCCATTGTCATGTCTAGAAGCGAATTCACCCTTAAGCTTGTGCTGCCCATAATATCCAATGTCCTTAAGGCACCCACTCAGATCAGGGTCACTTCAACATACAAGTGGAGGCAAATACTTTTTGCCTCCTCAGGAATCGGGACAGCAACTGAGTTTTTTTCTCTCAATGCCTACTTGCACAGAATCTCTTATTTCGGCTCCAATACTAACCAGGCATAAGCCATATTGATCCTTGTTCAAATTGAATTCTACACGGTATCAACCTGGTAAGACTGTGCAAAGTGTTTGCAAATGGGAGAGACATTCAGTGCAATTGTTCGAGCTGATAGGGAAAATCAAACGGCACATGCTTCCCATGTCAAGATTTAAGCCAATTTATAACATTCTTGATTTATTTAACAACTAGAGGGGTTGACTGATAAATCGACTTCTTCCAAATCCAGTCAGGATAAAGGCACAAATATCTTTTCCATCCAAAATGGCAAAAATTGCAACTATATGCTAATTTTCCCAAAATAAACAGATGGTATTCCAGCTAAAACCGGAACAGCCATGTGTGTTTTTTGCTTCAGTCTTCAGCTTCTGATTGACGTGATGACATCACGCACATTATAATCAGAAATAATTTCTGTATAAGGGTTATTGCATTTGTTCGCTTCTGGCTGCATATATATTCTCAAGTTTGTGAATTCACAAATATTGCAAAAGTTCAACTCACTTGCTGGGATTCTGCTCCAATCCTGTTTCTCTAACAACTCTTCATCCATAAAAAGACTGACAAGTAAAAATTTCATCAATTATTCAAATTTAGCATTTTAAATGTGCATTATTGAAGGGTTTTTACTTTTATTTTTATTTTTTTTTATCTAAAGCCTGCAGTGACCCAGCCACCCTTGCAAAGATGCTTTGAGTTTTCAAAACTATTGGAACTCTCAGTTTGGACTGAAATCACACCCAAAACTGCACTCTTTACCTTTTGGGTTGAAGGTGTTGCTATGGAGATACCCATCCCTGAACCGGGCAACACTGACAAAACCTTGTACTGTGTGAGAAAGAGTAGAAAATCAGTCACATATAACAATTTCTCTACTGTAACCTGAAATGTTCTCTAGTCAGTCTTCATATTATACAAATATATACAAATATGGATGCTCAGTATATCTCTTCATCAATCCAGCCAGCCATTATTTTTAGTATAAACGGAAAAGGTATTGTCTGGATTGGTATATTTAACTAAAATGTAAAACTTGTGGTAAATACCTTGGGCATAATTAGGAAACATTTAATTTATCAACCTTGTAAATATCCTTGTTATATTTTATGTAATTTAGGTTCTGTGGATGTTTAGATTTGGGTTTCAGAGGTTCAGAGCAAATAATTGTAATTCTAGTTGCCTGTTGGAATGAAAAAATATGTATTCCGATTACATAAAACAGTAGAAATCACCTGAGGTAAGTTTACATATCTAGCAGAAGCACATCTATATAAATCTTTAGATATCAATAACAATCTATATATAAATAACACACAATAAATGTATTTCCTTGCACACATTAAAAGACCTCAGCTTACAGGGGAAGTAAGTTGTTTATGATTTGATTATTACTCCATAATACATTCATTAATCAAAGATTTAATAAAGCTGCACATAAATAATTGTCTGCAAGTCTTCTAGACAAATGTAAAAGAAGCAACAATTGTTATCTGTGGCAAACCTACAGCAAACACCTACCTTCAGAATTTCAGTGATTTCAGTCAGTTTGATGACTTTGTTCCTTTTTGTGGACCCAGACCTGGAGCTGGAGCTCTCGAAACAGAGGTAGCTATAAATCCAAAGGACACAATTTAAGCTCCTGTCTCAGAAACCTAATTATTCCTTTTAAGAGTCCAGATCAGATGGTCAGATCTTTATTTTTTTGCATAGCTGTGAAAAACATTGAATTGAAGGGAAGGAACATACTTCTCTGTGACATAAAGCACCCCATTACGGATGTAATCTGTTGGTGTCTTCCTGTCTCTATTGATCAGGCAGCAGCGCCAGCCATTCTCACACACTGTGAAACGAAGGAGCAAATACAAACTTTATTAAGGCATATTTATGATTACATGCTCCACTAATGTGCTTTGTGATGGTGAAGATTCTCAGTCATCCCAAAAAAGTTAAAAAACATTCCTCTGAAAGGGACTCTGAAGACCTTGCCTATTCAGCCAGGCCAACAATTACATGTAATGACTTTAAGAGACATAGACAGGTATGGGGCAATGCAGGCTAACAAAAGAAGCCAAACCACCCCCATTCCAAAGGGGTGGACCCTTTCAACTGTTTCAATTTGCATGTTTTCTAAACATAAAGAAGGCTTTGTTGGGCTACTGTATAAAGCCTCGACCTCAAGACTATTTATGACTTTTAAATTAAAAAAAGCTTCCTTGATGAGAGGTGAAACCTCTTCAAACTTCGAATCAGTCCAGTGGATTGTTTTTTAACTGTTGTTTAATGTGCTTTGTGTTGAAAGAATGGTTGTTAAATATTGTATCTAATTCTTTCACTTCCTTTTGCAGTTCATAGTATTACCTGGAAGAGGGCGCTCACTCTCTGGAAGGCTGAAGACCTCATGAAAAGCTCCTCTTTTTGTGCTGTAGTATCGCCCCCCATCATCTTCTCGGCTGCTGCCTAGAGGAGCAGAAGTAGAGACGGTATTGCGACCCCCCGCTGAGGTAACCTGAACAGAAGAATAAAAGGTGTGCAGGGACTGAATTTGCAGGTATTTAATGTTTGAGATGTATATTCTGTAGTTTATTAGGATCACCTCCAGCGATATCTCTTCCATCTGTTAATCACACTAGACGAACTGCAATGTAGATCTCAGACCAATCATTAGTTGCCCACTCTAGTCCAGGAAGAAAAGCGAGGGAAAAGCTACTACTGTGTTTGAATTCCCAACAGAAGATGTTTGCAATTTTGGTTGCTGTGGAAAACAGAGCTATTTCCCAAGCAATAATACCTCAATCTACTCTCTGGACCTAGGGGTTCATGCATCTTCTTCCTTGCTGCTCTACTCTTCTGGCCAACATTGCTAGCGGTGGTACTTTACTGCTGACAACAAACTTCCACCCACCCATACAGCCAAAGCAGGACACTGAAAGCAGCAGCAAACACATTGGAAACCATGTCCTGACTATATAGGTAATAGCTAAGAGTTTCCAGTTGAAGCATGTTGATTCAAGAAATTGCAATAAAGAAGATGTGGCAAACCTCCTTGTAACAGCACTCTAGGATAAAGGTGTGAGATAAAAACATGTTTAAAACCCCTAACTGGCCTTTTTTAGCCTTTGCTCATGATAAAAAAGAAAATTTCTTGGAGTCATTTTAAAGAGGCTGTGTTATGGTCTAGCTCAAATGGCCGCAACAAAAACAGGGAGGACATGGAAACCAGAGATGTTTTTAGCCCTTCAGAGGCATTTATTAAAATGACAGCCAAGGGGATAATGAGTGGCAGCCCCAGATGTGCTCCAAGCATTCGCTACCTCCGCCTGGTCTTCTCTCTGCTTGGTTCTTGCCAACTGATCTGGGACCTCTGGACCCAACTGGACCTGGGACTCGGTTGGGTCCTAGCCTCGGCTGGTCCCCTTAATCAATTCTGTTCTTCTCTCGAGCTACGGCAACCTCTGGAGCCAGTGGTGCTCCGAGCCTAGAAAAAACCTGGCAAAAAAAATGACACCTGGTACCACGGCGACACACCTCATGGGTGGAACTTTGTTCCTTAAATACCATCCAGGTGGCTACGTAATCAGAAGAACCTCCCCCAATCAAGGACCTGCATGGACAAACAATTACCGGCCAGTTGCCTCACAGCAGGGCCGTCAAAGGCTGCTATTCATTTCATTCAAAGAGATCAGGATTGGTAGCGCCCATGTTTCCCTTCCGCTGGTACCCATCTTTTCAGGTCAAGTTAGTTAAACTCAACTGGGAACTGGGCTCACACTGAAGGCTAAGTGGCTGCATTTATGGTGCCACAACAGATCCAAATTAATACAATCAATATGTGCATTCACATGAGCCATTAGTGGTGAGGGTCTGGTTACTAAGGCTGTGTGGATTAACGGGATAGTTCTGTAGGAAGACCGTTTTGCCGGATGCAGCAGCGGTTTCTACACGTTCATTCATTTCACAGACCAAAAGGAAAAGATGGATGCCAGACAGGATAGAGTTTCAGAATACAATCATCCCACCAACTAAACCTAGCTTGACTAATGGAAATAAAACAGCAAAACAGAGACATGATGAGACACATTGGGGGATAAAAAGGAAATATTTTGGAAAAGGATAACAAGTTTTCCCCCTAGAACTTCCAGAAAGAGAGTATTCTCGTGTGAATTTATTTTTTTTCCCTCGAGCGCTGTATCCGCAGCCTACACCACAGCTGGCCGGGCTACCCACTACACCAGCATCAGTGGCACTTCTTAGCACAACAGCCATGGATCAGGACCACAACTTCACCCTAGTCAGTGTGAGTGAGGCATCATCAATTTTCCATTACAACAGAACAGTATCAGTAACAGTAAGTGGGAGTTAGATTTTTTATTGCACTGTGGGCCCTGGACTGGAGTGATATGAGCAAGCATGCAGGTAATAAAAATAGTACCAGTTCAATGTAAACTTTACTAATGGAAAAAAAAAATGCAATTAAGATTGGATGGTCTTAATCTTCTTTATTTCTTCTTCAACCAGTTTCATTGCAATGCCTGTAAAAATCCTATAAAATTCAGTTTTTATACCATCTTTAAACATCTTCCAGAGCTTTGATCAATTCATCCTCTGAACATGGTGAGAGGACAAAGCACCTGCAGACCTACCATGACATTATTGGGCCATATGCCATGATCATGGTTTTGGACATTGAGAACCAGTGTCCACGTTTCATGTTGACATAATGGCCAGAGAAAAAAAAATACAGTTTTGGTGATTAAACAGCTGTGATTATACACACAGACACACTTTTAAGCCAACTGCCTCCACAGGAATTCCCACAGAGGTGTGACTTGCCACCTCCCTCTGTGTTGAGGACAGTGAAAACCACAAAACTCACAGGTATTCTCTCTCTTTCCCATGAAGCTGCCTGAGGGTCCAACATAATGGAGATACAGGCCCAAAAAGGCCCAGATGATGATCAAGTCGTGATGGTGACTTTTCAGAACCAAACTGCTGCAGAAAAGACTTTTTGCAACACATTTCTCTTGAGTTGCGGAACTTATAGAGCCAGACTGGATGACAAAGCATCCTAAGGATGTCTTGTTGTGAGCCACATGGACAAAAGAAAACCCCTGGTTGCTGTGAGCCTACCTGCTGGATGAAAACTCAAGCCTTTCAAATGGACATGGAAAAAGGTTTGCAGGTCTGGCACAATTAGGGACAGAACAAACAATATGTCTTTTGATGATTTGGATCATTTCATGTGTTTACTGATGAATAAAGACAAAGCTAACAGGATAGAATATGCTATGCTATGCTACAGTAATGGCAACAGTAATATGTTTTGAGCTGTTGTTGGAGCTTGGACAAGCTTTATTTCACTAAGGGTTTAAACACTGATATAACTTTAGTGTTTATGTGTTTCTCATATGCTCATTACATTTCCACTACCAATTATGACCAAGAGTCATTTAATGGACTCCTCATGTCTATATGCTGCTAGCTATTTAAAGAGCACAAACAATCAATCAACTAAAGGATTACTCAGAGATGCAGGAATCAAGAGAAATACATTTTGGCCCTGAATTTTGATGAAGGGTTTTTCCCTAAAACATAGTTAAAAGCTCACAAATGCAACAAACAGGGTTGACTCAGTGGGCGCTGGCTACAAATGTTCAAAAGCACTTACATTTTATTTTGTAGAACATTACAGATCTCTCTTGTAAAGAGACATTAAGTGTCCATAGAGTTTCCTATCTAATAAAAGATTAAATGAAAAACATAACATTTTGAAAACCATGTATGAATTCTGTCTATGGTTGTAATGTGGTTTGGGGAGCTTAAACTACTTCTGCAAGTGATTCTAACGGTAAAATCAGTTTCTTTCCAGCAAAAAGGTGGTTGTGCATCTGCAATGTAGAAATGCACATGATAAAGACAATCACTGGGGGCTTTAGAGGAAGTACCTACTGCTGCTGAGTCTATGTGTCTATGCATCTACAACACACACTGACCTCTAAAACAAGACACAGCAGATCCTCCTACCTGTTCACATTCAGACAGCTGAGAGAGAAGAATAAAAACAAACTGAACTTAAAGCAGCTGTGCAGATTGTGCTGGCCTTTCATGCAACAGAGATGACAGGAATATTACATTTCTTTCCTCCTGTGTTAAAAATGATTTTTACTTAAATCCCACAAGGCTGCTGCTCACAGCAGACCAAGTAGGAGGTGCATATCTGAATCTATTACTGACTTTGACTGTATTATCTTGTTGAATTGTCTTTGTAAAGTGCCTTGAGATTGCATATGATGTAAATTGGAACTATATCAATGAAATGAATGGAATCTATGACTGACCCGCCTGCTCATTGTGGTGTTGCTGCGCTCCTTCAGCTGCAGGTCGGTGGGAAGGTTGGTCCAGATGATGAAGGGTGTGTCAAAGCGCTGGCGCAGCTTGGGGCAACTTTTAAAAATGAAGTCAATGATGAAAAACTTGATTCCTGCATAAATTCCTGCAAATAATCCAAATAAAACAAACTCAGCAGCTTAACCAATATCACAGGAAGTAAAATTTATTAATTTGGTCCATTTCATATGAAAATCATAGACCAAAGGGGCTGGGAAGAATTTGACTCAACTAAGAAGGTTTATCGAATGTTTAGAAATCTTTAGAAAAGGTGTATTATTTCTACATCTGATTCTGAACCACATAGTGAATTTGGAAGTGTGTGCAATCATGTTATTAACATGTAATTATTTTGTAGATTCCAATCTTTAATTATGAATATGTTGAAAACTGAGTTAAAGTTGCACAATCAGCTGTGTGAGTTTTCAAAAAATACTTTACTGATCCTAAAGGGGATTATTTTTTCCTTGTGAGGAAAATGTCTAATTTGAAGAGATGGCATCCATCCTACATTGAAAGGCACATCCCTTTCTAGGAATCTGGCCAAATTTATATTGCCCGAAAACTGAGAGCCCAGGGTGCAGCATAGAAGCAGAGTCATACACATGTCTTTGGAGCTTCTCTACTGTTACCCACCAATTACCCCATCCAGAATATGCCCGGTCCTTAGCCAAAACCAAATAGATTAGAAAACAATTCTACAGACATAAATCATGATAACTTAAGTAAAAATTACAAGACTCCACTTGAGAAACAAGTAAAAAACAATAAAATTTGTTTTATGAAACATAAGAGCTCTCACGAAGAGTTTGTTAATAATAAATTCTGGATACAGAATATAACAGATTGACAAATCAGTGGTTGAAATATACAAAACAATTGTTTAAAGGACAAACCCTTAAATCATTACAACAGATAGCAAGAATGTAATTTACCTGCTCACAACTTTTACAACTATCTACAACTAAGACACTACCTAGAGACACATAACAAATGGGGAAATATTTATAGAATCTAAAATATGGAGTTTTTTCATTTAAAATGAAATAAAGTAAACAAATACTTTAATAAACCAACAGGGACATCATCTCAAGATCAGAACTAGCAGTTTTTCAACAGTGTTAACAATGTGTTGTTTCTTTAGGGATTTTAGATATTGTGTAAATCTAAAATGTTTTAGCTCAAATTCGGAAACAAAATGTCTATCTACTTGTCCCAGGAAATGCAATCCTAAACAAATTAGACCTAAGTTTGGACATCGGTACTAAGACGTTAAGAGCGGCCTTTACTATTGCAAACACAGGTCCAACCTGTCACAACTGTCAGATAGCTCAGCATCTTTAGTGTGCACTAGTGTTCAGAGTTTGAGTCTTGTCAGAGAGTCATAGCTGAGTGTGTCTGATAATATACCTATGAGGAAACCCAGCAGCTGGTAAGGCAACAGGCATGAGGAGATGAAGGCCACCCACAATCCCACGTAGAGCTTCTGAGTCAACTCTGGCTGGACCCACATGAACAGACTATGGACACACACACACACATAAACAGTGTATCACACACCCCTGCTTGCAAACTATTACTTCAGGGAAATAACATTTGTACTGGAAAAATACTTACTTCTTTATCTTCTCAAGAATGTTGGCCATCTTTCCAAAAATATTCTGGATGGAGGTTAGGAAAACAACATTTAATCTATTGGACTGTGAGAAGACTGTGACCAAATAACTTGCAGTTTAATGAACGGTGACCAATGAATAAATCTTTTTGTAATCAGCTAAAAGTTTAAGAGGCTGGTTTAAATCTTATTTATCTGACAAATTGTCCTTTTTTCATGTTCAAGAAAAATCTTCTTCCTGCTCCAAGATTACCTGTGGAGTACCACAGGGATCAGTGCTAGGGCCAGTTCTCTTTATAGATTCTCCTAACTGGTAAAATTATTAGACAGTGTGGGATTCATGTCCAGTGTTATGCTAATTATACTCAACTACAGCGTGTAAAATAAGTATTGAAGACGCCATCATTTTTCTCACTTATTACATTTCTAGAGGTGCTATTGAGATGACATTTTCATCAGATGTCAGTAACAATCCATGCAATCCACACATACAAAGATATCAAACCATAGATGTCCAGGAATTTAGTTATGCCATCTGTGGAAAATGTGATATTAATGGCACCTCTAGAAATATATTTACTGAGAAAAATGGTGGCATGTTCAATACTTATTTTACCTGTTGTATATATGACTTTAAATACTGATTAAACTAAACCATTACATAGACTACATGTACAAGCATGTATTGAACACTTAAAAACCTGGATGACTCTTAACTATCTGCTTCTGAATAAAGATGGAACAGAAGTTATTATCTTTGGACCAGAGGTTTTGGGGAAAAAAAGCTGATTAGTCAGATAACAAATGACAAAATCTTGTTGTTATTTCCCATCAGGGCCTGTCAATTAAATCCCATATCAAATAAGTTGCTAGAATTTTCTTCTTTCATCACTGGAATATTGCAAAGAGAAATATCCTGTCCAGAGGTGATGCTGAGAAACTAGTCCAGGCATTTATTACTTCAAGCCTGAACTTTTGTATTTTTTTTACTATCAGGAAGTCCACAAACTGTAATTAAAAGCCTTTGGCTGATCCAAAAAAAAGGAGTTCTGATGAAAATTATAAAGAGAGAACAGATTTATCTTATCATAGCTTCTCTTCATTGGCTTCCAATTTAAAATTCTTCTTCTGACATATAAAGCCTTAGACATCCAAGCTCCATTTCATATCAGAAATCTTATTGTACCTTATGTTCCTAACAGAGCACTTTGCTCTCAATCTGCAGGTTTAATTTCTAAAAGTAGAAAGAAAGGCAGATCTTTTAGTTATCAGGCTCCTCTCCTGTGGAACCAACAACCAGTTTCAGTCCATGAGGCAGACACCCTGTCTACCTTCAAGGGTAGGCTTAAAACTTTCCTTTTTGATAAAAATTATAGTAAGAGTGGCTCTGGTCATCTGGAGCTATCTCTTTTGTTATGCTGCTATAGGCTTTGGCTGCTGGAGGACATAGGGACCACTTTTGATGATTCTGCTTCATTCTATATATTTTGTACCATTCTGCAATAATTTTTAGGTCAACCTCTAACTTAATGCCCTCTCTGCTTTTTTGTATCATAGTAGCTTCGTCTGATCTGTTCCTTGGATTTGACACAATCCCAGAATGAATTATCAGCTGTGCTGCTGCCATAAGCATCTTTGTTTATAGATGTTGGAGTTTGGGCTGTTTTCAGTGTGGTCCTGTGTCTCTTACTGTGACTAACTCTATGTGCTCTCTTTCATCCTCTGACATGGGAGCTGGTTAGGAGCTTGCCTGCCTGGCTGTGTGTGTCTCTGCTTCTGTCTCCTTGAATCCCAGTTGGTCTCGGTAGATGGCCGCTCACACTGAGCCTGGTTCTGCTGGAGGTTTCTTCCTTTTAAAAGTGAGTTTCCTCTCCACTGTTGCTATATAAATGCTCAGTGTGCGGGATCACTTTCGAATCAATTAGTTGATGCTATCAGCTAGTTTTCAACCAGAACAAATCTGGTTAATTTGTCTCTTTAAAGTGCCTTGAAATTACATGTGCTGGTGCCATATAAATAAACTAAATAGAAATGTAATTGAATTATACATCAACTTATTGACATTTAATAATGATGAAGACATCAAGGTTTTTAAACATCTGGTCCAAAACATTCAGCCACAAAGGCAAGCTCTTAATAAAACCTGGTAATTGAGCAAATTGTCTGTTTCAATCATTTAACTAACGATCATGACTTGGTTTTACCCATGATTTAAATGACATGTTAATCAACTATAACGTCCAGTTCTATTTAATATTATTTTAATAATCTTCTGGTCAAATTGCACGACAGTATTAACGATAACATCAATTTGTTGGAGCACCTGCCCTCACCTGAGCTTTTTGGGCAACATCCAGAACAAGCTGGAACTTTTCAGATACAGTCAAGTCTTCTTTTGAAGGTTCCTTGAAAATAAAATAGTTGTAAGCGATTTACCATCCTCAGCAACTAGCATCAACTGATCTCCTGACCCGTCGTTAATCACCCCATGCTTCATAGGGCAAAGGGAGATGCCTCACCAATGGCTCAAACACTTCAGGTACAATGCTCCACTGGATCCTCCAGCCTCTAAGAGAGAAATGCAATGAACAATTATACAGGAAACCCTTTCAAGATTGTTCTGATTAAACGATACTGATGAAATAACATTCTAAAGGATTCATGTAATAAATGTTTAAAAAGTCATTTATCAATTACAAAAAATTTAAACAACAAACAAATGAAAACAAAAATGGCCAGGAATACACTCTTCAGATAATGCACCTAAGTGTAATATTAGACATAAGATAACTTGAATAAAAAAACACTTTTCAAGAGATGGTTTTATTTAATTAAGTAAAGGATCTCTCAAATCAGCCCCACGTTACATGATGGTCCTGCTTGTTAAATCAGGAAATAATTCCATTTCAATGCAATTTAGTTGATTTATTTAGCACCAATTCACACCACATGTCATCTCACTTTACAGAGACAATGCCAGGAAATACAGATAGTGTAGAGTGGATGTAGCTTTGACCAATCAGATGCCTCCTGTCTGCGGCACTGTCTGTGGTCACCTACAAGCTGATGCACCAGAGTGTCTGCGGAAGGGTTAACTGCGAAACACATGCAGATAACCTGCTTTCTGAGTACAAATCAACCTTATAGCAACATAGCAATCCCCCAGCAGTCCTTGAGTAGTCAGTATGCAAGGACAGCTGGGTGACATTATGCAGATTTTTTTTTCCCTAAATCCCTGTCCAACCCGTCCATGTTTGTCAGCAATTTTCCCTGCCCAGTGATACACCAACTGAGAAGCCAACTCTGATGATTGGCAGCTCTATAGTCAGAAACGGGGCATTAGAGACACCAGGGACCATACCCTTATGTCTGATAGGGGCCAGAAAGGGCAACATAGATTTTTACGTTTGCTTTGGTGAGACAATTTGCAAATAACCGTCTCCTTGATCTGACCAATGACATGTTTAGCAGCATGTTGTCATTCAAACACTGGTTGTCAAGGTGGCGTCCTGAAAATGATTTGGGGTTGGCAGAGATGGCAAAAGTACTCACTTTCCGTACTTGAGTAAAAGTACAGATACTTGTGTTAAAAAATACTCTGGTAAAAGTGGAAGTACTGATTAAACTTCTTTACTCAAGTAAAAGTAACAAAGTACAGACTTGTAAATTTACTTAAAGTATAAAAGTAAAAGTAGAAACCACTTTTTTCATGCCATTGCCTACATTTTAAATGGATGACTGCCAATAGGACTAGATCTCCGTTGTGTGGTTATTTTCAATCATCTCGTCGTCCATACTACTATGCTAACGCCACCACCACCAAGCTGCAATGATTTGCCGCCAATGAATACCGCCGAATCTGTCGATTCATCTTGTAGTGGTGCGTCAAATGCAATGTAGATTCCCATCCAATTAGATTGAATTTGGTATTGATGACGTGAAAAATAATAACGGTAACTCCATTGAAATGATTCAAAACTAAAGTAACGAGCCAGTTTTTAAAAATGTAAGGTGTAGAAAGTACAGATATTTGTGTAAAAATGTAAGGAGTAGAAGTAAAAAGTCGCCATAAAAATAAGTAGTAAAGTAAAGTAAAAATATCAGAAAAATATACTTGAGTAAAGTAACGAAGTATTTGTACTTCGTTACTTCCCATCTCTGGGGCTTGGGCATGCTTTGGTGGCGCAATGATTAGCAAACACGACCCATGTACGGAGGCATTATGATGTGGGCTACAATGATCATCAGCTGATTTTCGGGGGGAAAACCTGGTGTGATTTTGAGATGGTGTCCATCTCACTTCCGCTGTTGCAGCTTGTCTTTCCAGGATTCAGGAGATATGTTTTAGTGATGCAAACCTCTCTAAACTTTCTTTACTGTTACCAACCCATTACCCCATTCAGACCATCTATATTGGCCAAAATCCAACAAATGACAGGGGAAAAAAAGGCTAACGGAGTCATTTATGATAATCTGATTAAAATTAACTGGACTCTAATTGAAAAATCGGTTAAAACAAATAAATGTGGTTTATTAAGATCTGATAATGATGATCTCTCACTTTAAACTATTTGTTGGTTAATGGTTTGATTTGTACAAAAAATTATTTATGTTGTTTTACAGAAACCTGGAAGCAACAAGAGGATCTTGTTAGTTGAAATGAGGCAACTCCATACAGCAATTTAAAATTTCACATTCACAGTGTTGAGATAGAATGTGGGTGAGGTAACAGGAGCGACTCCTCTCTGACATCACACCCCTGTGACTGAGTTTATTGAAGGAGCCGGCTCCTATTCAACATCCTGTTGCCCATGGCCAAAGGCTACGATAGGGCTAGACACACCTGTTCTATGTTGAAAGCTATATTTAGTAGCAACCAAATTCCTCTGATGAAGTCTGTGATTGCTGTGGCAGGGTGGGACCATGGAGATGTATAAAATGCTTTTTTAACAGTTATTCTGGGCAGACTTCCTGTCCAAGCAAGCCTGATGCCATTTTATCCGTGACCCCATCTGGTCTAAATAAAATTCTAATTCTGTTAAATCTGCCGTCATATTTTATAGTCATTTAATACATACACATTGTAAAGTGTTACTTAAAGTGTTTGTTCCCAGTTATGTCTTCTCAGGAAAGAATCGGGAGAGAACGCTTAAAGGTTTTAACACCCAGCTTTCCTTTACAAATGCTTTTATGTTTCTTTTGTATGCCTGCTTCCCTCTCCTTGAACCATCGACTCAGCCTCGGCAGCAAGCCGCTCACACTGAGCTGGTTCTGCGGGAGATTTCTTCCTCTTAAAAGGGAGTTTTTCCCTCTCCACTGTCTTTGCATGCATGGTTGGTGCGAGGCATTGCTGTGGAGTTTACGTCAAAAAGCAAGAAAATATCTAGTGTCTCTACATTCTCATCCAGGAAGAGCGTGACCTGCAAGTCAATGACTTGATGCATTCAGCTGCTTTTTTTTTTTTCTTAGATAGAGAACTTTTAACCAACCAGAAAGAACGATCTGATTGAATTCTCTTTGGATGGTGCCTTGAGATGACATGTGATGTGAACTGGTGCTACATAAATTAACTTGCAGCGAAATTGACTGGGAATGCCAGTCAGCAGTGGTCAAATTCTAAGGTGTGGAAAAAGAAGGATGCCGTAAAAAACTCAACCACAGGCAGGTAGAGCAACAATACATTCGGCAAAAACGTTCCAACACGACAATGAACTAAAACACAAGGTCAGGTGGACTCATTATAGGATACAGCAGATGAAACTGAAGGTTCTAGAGAGACTACATTAGTCCTCAGTCTTGGGCGGTCTCAAACATGCAGCCAATAAATTTACAGGTAGTACATGTGGAGTGACCACAAAGACTCCAGGCCTTTATTGATGTTTTTATGAGATATATATTTTTTAATCCATCCATCCATTTTCTGTCACGCTTAATCCCAGTTGGGGTTAGGAGGGGTAACCAGTCCATCGCAGGGCAACACAGAGATACACAGGGCAAAAAAACATTCCCGCCACACTCACACCTAGAATTTAGAGAAGCCAATTAACCCAACAGTCATGTTTTCGGACTGTGGAAGGAAGCCGGAGTACCTGAAGACAACCCACGCATGGGAGAACATGCAAACTCCATGCAGAAAGACCCTGGGCAGTTCTACGCACTCTTCCACTGAGCATTTTTTAATATTACCTAAAAAAGTAACCTGACTATTTAAAGTTATGAGCACAACTATAATTGTACTGTGCTATGTTAAAGTTATACAATGACAAAGTTTTAATGCAATCTTTTAAATAACACAACGTTTCTATTGGAGTTCATTTGACTTCTTTTGAAGAAAAGTTCTGCTCTAAATAAGAATTTGGTATTACGTTTAACACCTAGTCGCTCCCCCACAGTCAGCCTTTAAACAGGAGATGTGTTGGAAAACTCACCTGGAAATCAGATAATTCAATGAAAGACGGACTATTGCGAGGAACAGAAACATGGGGATGGCCCAGCCATGCCATGCTGCATACATGTACACCTGTTAAAACAACAAGTGAAAAAAGAGCAACAAAATAAATTTAAAATTCAATGGTAAGTTTTGATATTTAGAATGGGCCTCAGGATGCCTGACATGGTCATTGGGGGCTTTGTGAGGCTTGCCATAATCTTTTGGATGAATAGCCACCTTAAATCTGGAGAGGAACTCATAACAAGAGCCAATTAGTTTTCAGAAGTTGTTTAACCAATATAATAAAATCAACACAAATCAATAAAGGAATTTGAATAGCTATCCTTCTCTTTATCAAATTGCTAACCAGTTCACTATAAATATGTTATTGTATGTTTCAAAGGTATAGAGACTGATGTTATTCCAGTATTTGAATATAATCTCAACGGTGACCCCTGCTGTCACTGAGGGAGAACAACTGATCTCATTTGATACAACAGAAATTTAACAAAAGGTTGCATAAGTTTATTTTGTTTGCAAGTAGAGAAGAATTTTTACTTGATGATACAAAATATGTTTTATTTGTGTACAACTTGTTCTATTTGTTTTTAATATTTTAGCAGAAAATATTAAAAACAAATAGAATGGATGGAAATGAAGGTGTCTGGAGCACCTTTGCTAAATGTTTATCTTGCCTTCATGGTTAGTGAAGAACTTAAAGTTAAACTGATTTTGCTTAACTTCTTGCCACTTGCCAAAAACATCTGGACCAGTGGAGTTCACAAGTTAAGAAAATAAGACAAGATAAAAGCAATATACATTAATCAAGGAACATGCACATAAAGAAAGTAGACATTGTGGAATAGATAGGTTTTGGGTTTAGATTTGAACAACAACAGAAAGTGGCAGCATAGCGAATGTCTAGAGGAAGAGATTTCCAGAGTTTGGGAGCAGAGAAGGAAAAAGCTCAATTTTCCAAGGAGCTGAGTGAGAAAAGGAACAGTACAGAGGGTGAAAGAGAAAGATCTAAGGATATAGTAGAGATATGGAGGAGATCTAAATGGTAGGAGACATCAAGTCAATAAAATTCAATCTATACTGGAGAATTGGGTTCTGAATTTAACAGGAAGTCAATGGAGCTGCTGTGAAACTGGAGTGATGTGATGAAAAGAGGGGGTTTTGGTGAAAATGTAAATGCTAAATTCTGGACTACTTGGAACTCATGGAGGGATTTTTGAAATAAAGAAATGTGTGAGCATAAGGCACAGGTGGGCCCTCAACTAAAGTGACCACCAAAACCAAACGTATGGATGCAAAGATGTGACACAGATCCATAATCGAAAAAAAAACTACATATAAAGACAAGACAAAGAACAAAAGAAAAGAAAGGCAGTACAGTAGCCATAGTTGAGGATAAGCAGACAAGTATTGCTTAATTTACAAAACAGGCAGTTTTGCCTTTTACTAATAAAGCGTTAACGAAAAATTAGACACTTCTGTACATGCTTAAATTATTTAATCTGATCGAACTCTTGGTACATGTATACATTCGCCATAATCGGATTGTTTCTTTTAGTGTCCATGTAATGTTGTATGCATGTAAACGTAGCTTATGATACTGTATGTTAAACAGTATTAATGGGGGATTATTGGCATCTTTTCATCAATTCACACCTGCTCATATATTTTTATGTAATGTAGTATGAGTGTATAATTTTACAAACAATATTTACTGAAAACTGTTTCATAGCCAAAGGAAACACCCCTAAATTCATAGATTAACTGTCTGGTCACTGCTGTTATTATTTACTGTAGCAGGTTTGAGGGGTGGAGAAAAATGATTCTTGTCTGTGTGTGAACTTACAATGAAGGCAATGGCAGAGGTATACACAGAATACCAGCTGGATAAAGCAGACAGATTCCTCATGAAGTTAGTCACGGGTCTGAAACCTCGTTCTAAGAACACAAAGTAAGAGGAAACAGTATATTAGACTCATTTGTAATGTTGTTGCTTTTAATAACAACATAATGTTTACCATAGAATCCAGTAAATAAAGTTATCAAAAATATGCCAAATCTATTATGTCTAAGGTCCCACAGGGATCCATTATTGGAACTCTTAGTCATCTAGTATGGGACTCCAGACAGGAAAGCGAGAGAAATACTTACTAAGACGTCTCATGTTTTCAGTCAGCCTGGGGATCAAATACAATGGATGTTGGTTTGGATTTTAAATAAACGAAACATCTATTAGAATCAAACAGCACTAAATTGTCCTGCGACAGTCTAGTATTTTTTTTTTTTTTTTTTACCTCCTGCCACTAAGTGGCTCATCTGGCTCAACAGTTATCTCTTCTGGTTGGAAGCGGAAGTCTTCGATATAACATCCAAATCGATCGTAAAACCATCTCAGGAAAGTGTTGGATAGGGTTTCTTTCTGTTTGTCTTAGAAAAGGAGAGGCTTCATTAAATCAAAGAAAATGGATAGTGACCGCTACCTTTTCCAAACCTGAACAACTTGAAAAATAAAAAATAAAACGAGTTGGCTCTCTAACCTGTGCTGCTGCTTACAGAAGGTTGAGGAGATGGAGGTTTGGAGGTTTGAGAAGGTGAATCCTCAAGTCTGTGAGAACACATATATATAATGTCAGTCAAGAAAAGTAAAAATGAATCCGTTTAGAAAATGATCTTAAACACCTACCCTGATTTTATGGCATCATTGACCTTCTGTTCCAACTCAATTCGCCTGCATCGCTCCTTCTCCAGTTCCTGTTTAAGTGAATCTATGTGGGACTCATCCCTCAGCTTCCGCAACTCTTCCTCTGAAAGAGTAAAGATCGGGACAATAAAGAACTACTCCTGAACAACTTGTTTCTTTCCAAAATGTCTTTTAGCTGATAAGCAACATCAAGTGTAATTGATACAACAATCAAAAGTGAAAAGGCCATGAGGTGGATGAATTTGAACAGGGATGTACTGAAAAGTAATCAGTTTACAAGAACCAGTAAACTGAAATTTTAAGTTGAAAAAAATGAGTCAGAACATAACATAGCACCTTGTAGAGGCACCTTTATCAGATATAACTCCTAGAAGGTTATAACTATACAGTATTATGGGTGTCCCAATTGAGCGGCTACATCCTTAAACTAAATCAATCTGGAAAACAAATACAACAGCTTTGGATGAATCCTTACTATTTGCTCAATTTGTTTTTTTTGTTTGTTTTTGTTAATTTACTGCAGCAGTTGCCACAATACTACTGCAGCAGTTCCCCAACATTTGGAGGGAAACGACCCTCTGGGAGCTTCCAGATTTTGCAGCCGCTCAGCTCCATGCCATATCCGGAAGTCCAACTCACTGAGCTTTTTAAGTCATCTGCTTTGATGCCGCTATCACTGCACATGATGGCAGAAGAGATCTCACTCTGACAACAGACTGGTAGAAGATATGTAGCATCTAAATATGCAAACATGAGCATTTTGATATTATCTTAATGAGTTATGTGTTTAACTTCCACCCACCGGTTTAACCCAGAAGTAGGTTCAATATTCTCAGCCACAATTGCCAGAGCCTTCCATTAGTGCTGCCCAAGCTTGACCGAACCGATATGACCTGCACCGACTAGTGGGACATGATAGGGCATATAGGATACTCTGGATTGATCCCTCAGATTGGCCCAATGTTGAATTATTTGTCTGCAACATTTGAAGCATCCTTATGAGGATTTAGTGGTTTAAGACAGCATTCGCTGTGGCGCTTTGACATAATCAGTCTAATATTAAAGCCTTCAGAGTACACATCCCCCAAAGTGAGATGCAGCCATTATTGCTCTCCTGCATTCAAGTTATATGGAAGATTTTTTTTATTTAAAGTTGTCAGTTCTTGTTGTTTGGCATAAATTGATTTCTTAAATTCCATCCTAAGTAGCAATAAATGTGTTCTAAGTTTGTCAACCTACAGATATATCTGTTATCAGTCATCCAGCCAAAATCGAATGATTAAAAACACTGCAAAGTATCTAAAATTAAAATATCAAAAGTCATGAAAAAAAAAAACTGATCTCTCTGCTCTGAAATACTGGGGGTGTGTCCACAGGAATCACTGTAACCACACCCATACAAGAAAACTTTCACATATACTGTGGCAATGGGCTTGCCATAACATGTGGTAAAGTGTGAGAAAAACATTCTATGAATTCCATAAATAGCATGCAGCTTAGTGATGTTATTGTGCTGCACTTTTAACCCATAAAAAAGAATCAAGAAACACAGACCACTACAAACCCAAATTAAATCATAACTTACAACCTCCCCTTTTAGAACAGTACATCTTAAATTTTTATGATACATTTAAAAGAAAATTGAAAAATACCCTTTAGACCTAACCTTTAACCTGTTCAAGATTTTAACAGTACATATTTGTGAAGATATATTTTTTTGTCTGTTTTAAAAAACAAATAACATGAGACTTTTCTATTGATAATATAAAAACCCATTTGTGGATCATGTTTCAACTTAATTCATTGCATTCTGCATTTTATTCTGACAGAATTCTAGGTAATAGCCTCAAACCCACAAGGCTCCATCATCCATTATGTGCTTAATGAAGTCCTGAGGAGCCCGAAGAGCCTCACACTAGTACATCACCATGTCCTATATGTTAATAGCGCAACAAAGAGGAATAAGAGGACAGAGAAAAATAAGAGGCTGGTTTAAAAAGTGTCCAAAGTCCAACACCTGTCAAACAGAAACCCTCATGCTTTATTTGAATCATAGTGAGGAACATTTTTCTGATTTCACCTTAAAAAGTGAAGATTGTATGTACTATTTTTGCTGAACCTAGCAACCTTTTTCCTGTGGTCAGGGTTAAGACTAAGATGTGTGAGTTCAGGTTAGTGTTAGTTATGCACTGATAATGTTAGCATGAGGAGAATGTACAAAAGTGTGTGTCTCACATGCCAATGAGGACTGCACTGTTATAAATAGCTGTTGGTGAATTATGTAAAGGCAGATATTGACAGATTACCCAACATGCAGTTGTGCTGTGGATTTTCTGTGCTTTGATCTGGTCATTGAGGTGACAGAATTTGTACTAAACCATATCTACACAGCTTGAAAAGCTACCTGCCTAAAGTCTCCTTTTTTTGCCAGAAAAATACAGCAGTTGAGGACTACCTGCTAATTATGTGTTTGACGAGGGTTTAAAATGAGACCTTGCAGCCTGATCAGAAATGTTAATTCAGGATCTTGCAATGATTCTCACAGACTTTGGACAGCAGTTCCATTCCAACTTTTGGGGGTGTCTTATACATGCAATGTTGATGCAGAATTTTTATGTGAATGTTTAATTAGTTTTTATATATTTTTACTTACAAAATTTAAAAGGTGAGGCATGCATATGTTTCTAAGTTAGCAGAAATTAAAACAACCCTAGCCCATGTTTCTGCTCGGGTATTGGCTGTTCAGGGGGGTTCTCCTGCTGGGAGATGAACCTCGACCCGGGCATCTACAGGTTTTGGGCCAGGATGGCCTTCCATCTTCATATAAACCCTAAGCAGCTTCCTGTACTACACCATGATACTGCCACTAATTTTATCACTGAAACATCTGGATTTTCTACTGGTCTGTTAAATAATAGTGCTACAAGGGAAACAATAGAAGCAAAATTAGATAAATATTCACAAGTGTATGACTTCTAATGTCAAATGGATCTACTGGAATTCTTTAGAGGTGTCAGATGAATATACATGCCATATAAAGTCCCCCAAAAGCATCATATGATTTTATTTCAAAAGGTTGAAATGTGCTGGTTTGTCAAAAAACCCAATGAAATATTTTTTTTTTTATTAAACAGGTATGAATACTTCTGCATGGCTCATTAAAGTGCAAGGCATACTCACGTAAGAAGTGTTTTTCTAACAAGGCGATTTCTAGGAGACCTTTGACCTCATTTAAATCAGTCTTTGGTTCATCTTGGAGACCAGCAGGAAACGAACCAGAACCAGCCTTGGACACACAGTTAAGAAAGAAGCAATATTAGAGACTGTCTCTAAACCAAAGGCATAGGGGTGTTCACTTTTTACTCCACCTGGATGTCTATCTGTTGCTCTCCCTCAGGTTCCCGTAGTTCTTCAGCTTCTCGCAGAGAGATGCGGGGTTTTATTAGGTCGTCATTGCACTCTGTATCAGAAGTGTTAGGCGACTCGGTAGTGTCAAGGAACTCGTCCCGTCTCTGGCCCCGGAACCGGATTCTGTCAAGACGCTTCCGCATGGTGGCAGACCCCAGATTCAAGTGTCTACAGGAACATGATGAATACCTGAGCAGCCAAAGTAGAAGAGGAGAAGTAGTCAACAAGAAAGCTTCAGTAGGAAGAACATGAAATGCGGTGCATTGATTAAGTGTTTCCCTATCAAGATTTTCTTCCAGAGTTTTTGTTGTTTTTTTTCACAACCAAATGTTAAAAAGCACCAAATATTATGTTTTTCATTAGGGGTAAAGCTGTTCAAAAAACAACCACTGTGTAAATTCTTCAACCTTATAACAGTCTGGACTGTCTATCTCTTATAACAATACCATCTTCCTCTCATATATGGCATTAGCTTTTATTTTTCTTCTATTTTATTGTCTGATTGATGTAAAGCACTGAATTACCCATGTACTAAAGTGTGCAATACAAATAAACTTGCCTTGCTTAGTTTCACTCCAGGTGAAATAGTGTACCTTTGAAAAGTCCTTTACGGTAAAGTACTTTTGTGTTTAAATCATTCTTGAAAACATAGCAGTAGAGAGCTATATATATTTTTTTTTTCACCTTCTTAATATGCCTTCTCCTGGTCTACAAAACACATGTAGACTGGTTGGGCAATTCCCAGGCACCCTCAAGAACCCTGCAAAGAGTGTAGAGCTAGACCACTGTTGCACAGCAGGTCGAAAATCACACTACTTCACCAGAGTCCATCACTGGGTTTGGGGACTGTCGCCACAATAGGCACCGCAAACTTCATGGGTACAGAACATGGCCCACTCAGACTCCCGTCTCCCCCAGAATCTAGGAGATGCTCACCCAGAGGTTGGAGTTGAACAAATCTCCTGGGTTTGGCTTCCTCCACATCGAGAGGAGTCAGCTGAGGTTGCTCGGACCTCTCATCCTCTCTCCTTAGGCACATAACATGGGGAGGGGCCCAGGGGCAACCCAGGACAAGCTGGAAGGACTATGTCTCTTGATTGGCCTGGGAGAGCCTCAAGCTTCCCCCCCGCAGAGATGGAGAAGTTGTCTGGGAAGAGGGAAGTCTGGGAGTTCGACCCCCACTGCCACTCTGGGTCTCTGAGCAAGACCCTTATCCCCACACTGCTCCCAGGGTGCCCCACGATGGCAGCCCACTGCTCCCCAAGGGGATGGGTTAAATGCAGAGGTAAATTTCTCCAATGTGAGGTCAATAAAGTACAATTATTATTATTAACTTGAGTAAGTAATATTTTGTAACATCTTTAAATGTAATGGTAATGAGAAAAGTAATGATACATAAATTGGTATATAACTACACTGAGCTCATTTATACCATGAACTTTGTTAAACACAATTACAGTTCTATTTTGACAAAGCATTTTATTTCTAAAATATAGGTGTTATGTAACTTGCATGAAGCTTGAGTGGATAAACAGCTCAACCTGCAATCAGTTCCATTCTATTTATTATTTGCGAGTGTGTATGTGAGCATTCTATTAACAAAATAATGACATCATATGAAAGGATGAAGTGTTGGACGTCAAGCTGTACCTTGTATTAAGAATTTTGTTAGCACAGCTCTATTTTGTAACACATTGATATCAATGAGACTTAGTTGCTGTTAAATTGAGATTTGAAGTTGATGTGAAGCTATCTCCAGTTTGATATGCTTATTACAATGTTTTCTTTGTTTAATCAGTTTTAACATTAGACTAAAAAATTTTACGTAATTCAAAAACAACTTATTATTCATGCATTAATTCATGAATAAAAGACATCAAGTTGGAACTACAATCTAGAAAGTCTCCATCAACACTTTAATAGGGAGATATTGTCTCTCATACAGGTGGAGGTAAGGAATCCAGCACTTAAAAAGGTTGGAGACCACTATAGTAGACATAAATAATGCTGGCGTTGCCAAGACAGATTCTTTAATACATAAGGTGAATTAATAAATGTGCGCACATTGCATAGCAATACAGACAACAAGATTAACAGTTTATAAAATCCAGTCCAAACATCCAATAAATTGAATGTTGTGACTTTGTCATTTATAAAAGATCTGAAATCCCTCGTAGATAAAGGAGTTCTCAATTTCAATTGCTTTTATGGATTACTCCAGATTGATGGAACAAAAATAATTTATTATTTTTTTTTGGCCCAGTTCGGCTCTGACTCTCGGACCCTGCATGATCTTGAAAATGCAGGTTATACCACTTAAAGGCTTGGAAAGAGAGGCCGACCTTAAGCCAGAGGTTCGTGTTCAAGTAGACACTAAATTTGGAGGAGAAACTTTGTTCCTTTGATCGATCAGGAAGGAGTAAGTGTCTCATCATTTGCCTTCTGGGGTCAACCTGTGCTGAGTTGACTGGGAGGCAAACTGAACAAGCTTCATTCCATTCCAAAATTATGGAACACCTATCAATGGCATAAGGCATGAGGGTGTGGTGAGCCTAAATCACTCTGAGCTGTCCGACAGGTTTAGCTGACTTCATTATTGTTGCCTGGACAAGACCATGCAAAAGTCAAGCATGCAACTCTCTGATGGTATAGCCTCAGATTCTGTGTTATGCATTGGTTCCTTGTCTCTGGGTTTTTGTGCGTGTTTGTGCCTGCCCCTATAATTTATTTATCTTCAGTTTTCCAGGAATGTTTTTTGATGTATTTGTTTTTTTAATTATGGACCTTCACTGTATCTCTGTATCCATTTTTCTTTTTTTTCATTTTAGTTAAAGACTCAGCAGTGTATATATATATATATATATATATATATATATATATATATATATATATATATATATATATATACACATATACATATACATACACATATACATATACATAAACACACACACAAATATATTACGGCTGCAATAAATGATTATTTAGCAAATTAATTCATCTTTCAATATTATTTTTTGATTAATAATCAAATAGCCTAAGATTCTTTACAGAAGAAGACAATATATTTAAACCAGGAGAAAATGTAAGCTTTTCCACTTGAGGAGTTATGAATAAAGCATATTATTGACAGACGAAAATGTCTTAAATGCCTCCTTCCTCACTCACTGCAGACGGTATCCCTATTTTCCTCCAAGCTCGGGACCTCTATCAGAGGCTTGGGAGCTTGAGGGTTCTGCACAGTAATCTTTGCGGTTCCTAGAACTACACTTTTCTGGACTGAGATGTCTGATGTATTTCCAGGGATCTGCTATAACCACTCCTCCAGTTTCTTGGTCACTGAGCCGAGTGTCTTTGAAGAGGTAAGACAATTACACCACCAGGCCCTCTGACCACCATCAGTAGCTACTGCAGGTGAAGAGTCTTGCCAAAAGACACAGCAACACTGAAAGCCGGAGCCGGGCCTTGAACCGACAACCCTTCTGTTGAAAGGTAAACTCCACTGCAACCATCACTATGAAAAAATCTCTTGCTTTTTTAAAGTGTTTAATTAAGCTTTATAAACTAAAGCAACCTCAGCTAGAGCCGCTCTAACGTGCTCCACAGTACTTTGGAGTTTTATGTCTTTAAAGGAATCACTGCAACTAAAATAGGTCTGTTCTTAGCTAGTTATTTATTTACATCATGACATTTTGGTTTTATGGATCAGAAATTAGAGTTGGCTACATAAGCAACATTCAAATCCAAATAGAAGATTTTCTTCAATATCTGCTAAAGAAATTTAACATTAATAGTTTCAAAGCTTTAATTAAAGGGCTTAAATATAATATTGTAGACTCTACTGTAAAAACCTTTATTTGAAATCATTTGGGCATCTTCAGCACCCTGAGGGGGAAAAATAGAAGAATGAAAAAGACAAGATTTGAACATCTGGAAGCACAGAGAATAAAGCGCCTGGAAAACTAAAGTTGTTCTCAGGTTTCCAAACTTAAAAGACAATTCCATCATTTTTTTATTAATTTGTACAACAATTTAAACTACTTTTGTATAATCTTGTATATTTTAGACCTCAGATTTTTTTTTTCTTTTTGATCAATGACCTTACATTTACCATCTTTGTCCTAGTTTGTGCAATTTTACTCCTTTTGTAACAAATAGAACAGAAAAGGTGGCACTTTTGTTACCAAAACCATAACTTACATCTAATCCTATAACTTTAGAGCCAATGTTGCATCTAATTTGATGACATGTACTTGTTGTTACAGATTACATCTTTGCAGCATTTCCTAATCTTGTCTCTAATTCCTGGTCAGTTCCACACATATTTTCATTAAATATCCTTTTCTGTTAACTCTGCATACAACCTGTTGTCATTCACATAGTTCTGATCCCGTCTGGGGCCAGATTACTAAGGAAATTGCCCTTTACCCAAATAATCTATAATCCGAGGGGGATCTGTGACCCAAAGGGAAGCCAACCGGTCCGGAGTTCACAGGATCCCCTGAAAAACCTCCAACACAAACAAAATAATGTTACAACAAGCGGATTCCTTACCGGAAAGCAGGTGATTAAATAATCTTTTCGAGTCTCTTGGGCAGTGAAAGCCCACAGTAAAATAAAAATAAAAAACCTCAGAGCATCGATTGAAAACCTCAGAAGCAGATAACTGTGATGATTCCTGAGACTCGTTCCGGACTTGGAGGTGTCCTCTGCTCACAAACTGGATCTAAATGTGTCTGTAATGTGAACAGAAGCAGGCGGCGCTCTTCTTCTTCTTCTTATGAGATTTTATGGCGGTTGGCAAACTTGTGAAATGTGCATTACCGCCACCAACTGATATGGAGTAAAGCAAGGAAACAGGAAACGATTCACCCCCCCCAAAAAAAAAAAAAAAAAAAAAAAAAATACAATAAAATAACCTGTGTAACTTAAACCCACATAATACTAAATTATACTAAATTACATTTGCCCGTATAATTTTAATTTACTCTAGGTCATCGTACCTCTGCCAGTTTCTGATGGTCCCATTGGTCTTTCCATCATGCTTCCAACCATCTCCCAGTTCATATCTTTAACATCCAGATATTTTTCTGCAGCCTTCACTATTATTTTGATTTTTTCTGTTTTTTTTGTCGTCTGAGCAGTACAATTAATCACTTCCACCATGAAAAGAACAAAATTTGTCTTTTTAACAATTAGTGAGTCTTCATCAATTTTTGGAGATTTCTCTAGAGGTTTGAAATTTGCCGTGTGTTGAACTGTAGGTTTGGGTTTTTCTGACTGAGATGGGATCCTTTTTGCAGCTTCAGCATAAGTTATTCCAAGCTCAAATTTCATTTTTTTTATTTCTTCAGACCTTTTGCTTGCTTCACAGCCGCGATAAGCAGCAGTATGTTCTCCACCACAATTACAGCATTTTATTTTAGCTTCTTTTCCACATTTACCATATTCATGTTCTCCTGCACACCTTCCACACCTCTGTTTCCCTTTACAAACTGCTGCAATGTGTCCGAATTTTTGACATTTGAAACATCTCAATGGTGGTGGATTGTAGATTTTGACATTGTAACTGATGTAACCGATGAATACTTTGCTTGGTAATTGCTCTTCCTCGAATTTAATTAGTACAGATAAACTGTCAGATCTTTCTCCGTTTCTTGTTGTTTTTAACCGTTTTACTTCTTTTACTTTTGCACCGCTTATGTTTTCCAGAATCTCTTTTTCAGAAATTTTCAGAGGAACTCCTCCAATGACTCCCCTGCTGATCTTTTTGTTCTCCATTAGGCTGCACTGAACTCTTATCCCGTCAATTTTGTTAATACGTATTGCTTTGCCTTGCTGGGCGCTGTCTCTGCAGTTAATTAGCAGGTCTCCACTGTACAGAATTCTGGCACCTCTGACTTCTCCAACAAGTTTATTGATGGTTTTTGTTAAGTGAACCGGATTCCAGTTTGTAAAAGAGTCTGCCTGATTAACGACTTTGAATATGACTTTGAATTCATTTTGTTGTGCTGTGGAATGTATGGATTGATCATCACTGGATTGTTCTGAACTAGATTCCCCTTTAACTGATCTCTGTTTTTTCCGCTTTTTCTCATTTTTTGATGCTGCTATCTTCCAACCTTCATTGTCACTATTTCCCTCTTCCATCCCACAAGAATCGCTTCCTGTTTCCTCACTACTCACGGCCCAGGACATTTCTCCACAAGCAGAGCAGCTTCAAAACACGCGCCATGCACCAAACGACCAACGTTCCTCCCACCAATCAGCAGGCGGCGCTCCTTCACCTGACACAATAATAATTAACCCTTTGAGGTGAGCCAATGGAGGGGGCGCGAGGAGGAAGTGACGAGAGCACGCGGCTCTTAAAGGGACAGTATGCTTGTTACCGCCTTCAAAACTAAATTATTTAACAAAGCTGAAGTTGGCTTCTGGAAAACAATGTTTCTACACCTTCAGAATCTTTAATCTACTCTAATAAAAAAACAAAAAACAATAACATACACGTCTAACCTGGATTAGATTATTTTAAAGTAGCCTACTTAAAGTACTATTAAAACCAGGTCTCTGATTTGTGAAACTTCAATAAAGTCCGATTTAAACACTTAGCCAGCGTAGCCAGAAAATTTTAATAAGGGTGGCCAGGCAGTAACCAATGTACACTGAGGGGTGGCTGAAAGTAGATAGGCACCAAAACCTCACGCTCGGTCCATACTGTTCCAACAAGAAAATTAACGAGCAAAACATCCATATTTTCTAAATAAAGGAAAGCTATACTTTCCTAAAGCATTTGCTAACAAATAGAGGAATATATTCAAATATTTGTGCTTTCTACATAAAAGGTATAGTGGATAAAATTCTTTCAGGTTTGAGTTTTGGGCGAACATCTTTTCCATTTTCATTACTTTCCTACTTTTATCAGTAATCATTCTGCATAAAATTGATATTTATAAGCACTAATATCTACATAAATAGATTATTTAATACCTTTTTATTAAAATTGTTATTTATCTATGATTTCACTGATGACTTGCAGAGACACATAATTTTCTCTTTAACCCATAAAACCCAAAATCTAGTTCAGAAAAGAGCATGAATTCTGTCTTTAATGTTAGTATATTGATGTGTTTGATTAACTACAGGGTTTTTTGTTATCAAGTAATTATGAATATATGAAAAAATAATAATTAATATATAAAAAAATAAAATGTTTATTATTAGGGGGAAAAGATGATAGGGGTGGCCACATGGGGGGGCCAATGATTGCCCCCCCATAATCCCTGACTAAAACTGGTCTGGCTCTACAACTACTAGACATGTCTAACCTGGACTAGATTATTCTAAAATACTTGCAGAATAATAAAAACCAGGGTCAGATTTGTGAAACCTTTCTCTGATTTGTGTGACATGGACACTAAACAAAAGTGTTAAAAACTTTATTGAAGTTTCACAAATCAGAGAAAGGTTTCACAAATCCCGGGTTTAAATTATTATACTAGTAGTTGAAATAATCTAATACAGGTTAGACGTGTCTAGGTATTTTTTTATTTATAAATTAAAGATGCAGTGGAAGGTATGGAAAAATTAAGTGGAATCGCCATTTATACATTTCCAGATTCGGAAGCCAACTTCAGCTTCATAATTGTTTAATGAGTACAATAATAGTTTTTTGTCAAAAACGAATTTGCCTATATTTGAGAGAGTGTTAAATGGCCAGATACACCAAAGGTGAAAGAGACTTGTTTCAGAATCTCTCACAATATTCACCCAATGGCAGATTTCTTTCTCAAAAGATTTAAATTTGATTTATCATGCAGTGCCTTTTGTGAATGTCCAGATCAATCCCTTAATCATCTATTTTTTTCCTGTCCTCTTTCTTTTAAACTGTAGACATTAACGAATAGATGTCCCTTAAAAGTGAGGACATCCCAGAAATAACCATCACCCACATACTGTACTATGTTGATGACCTTGATAGTGAAATATCCGATATGGTAGATATTGTTTTCTTGCTCAGATATAATATACATTGCTGTAAATTGAGAGGTTCTACTCCTTGTTCGATTTATTTTCTTAACCAATTTAAACTGTTTCATACCTCATTGAAACATTTGAAATATGTTTCTGCAAAAAAAAAGTAACTGCCTGTATTTCTCCTTATCTTGCTCTTATTTTTATTCATTGGCCTTACTCTTAATGTATCTGTTCTTAGGTTTAGCCCCATGTTTTACTTTTTTCCACCCATGTTTTAATGCTTCCACCTCAACGAGTCTTTGTATACTGTTCATTTTCTATTAAAAAGAAAAAAAAGGTTGAAACTGGCCAAACGGGCCCCTAGGGACCAACCCTCCCTTTGTGCGTTCCCAAAGAAGGTTTGCCACAATAAGGGCTGACCCAAACCACGTAGCGGGTAGGGCGAGTGGACCATTCAGCCCTTAAATAGTGAGTCTGCATTAGTGCAGGCACGCTGGAATTTGGCAGCGTGTGTAACGTCGAATTGGTGGCATGCATTCAAAATTAATTTCCGCTATTTTTCTGCATCTTCGTCACACTGACAGAAAATCACAAGTTAGGAAAAGGAATAAAGATTTTTTTATTGCAAATGGCTGCTCTCAGCCGCCTCCACCTTCTGAGGACGCTGAGATTCTTTGGAGTGAGCAGACCCTGCTTAAACCCTTCTATGACTCTGTGGTGGCATCGGCCCTCCTCTACCCTATCTTATGCTGGGCGGGACAGAAAGAGACTGATCAAACTGGTGAGAAAGGCCGCCTCTGTTCTCGGCTGACCTTTGGACTCAGTGGAGGAAGTGGCTGAGAGGAGTGAGCTGTCCAAACTTACATCCATTATGGACAACACTGCACACCCCCTACACCAGACTGTAGTGAAATACTTTTACACCCTGTTTGTAAAAAGGAGCACTACCACAGGTCATTCTCCCTGCTGCAACCTGACTCTACAATGCGACACTACAATGGCAATAACTTGTGCAATGTTTAATGTGCAATTACTATTTAATACCCTGTGCAAAAGCTATATATATATATATATATTAAAATATCCATCTATATAAATACCCATGTAAATACCCTGTGCAATAACCCTGTATAATATCCATCATCCATTTTCCGTCACGCTTATCCCAAGTGGGGTTGTGAGGGGTGCTGGTGCCTATCTCCAGCTGTCTACGGGCGAGAGGTGAGGTCCACCCTGGATAGAACACCAGTCCTTTGCAGGGCAACATAGAGACAAACAACTATCACACACTCACACCTACTGTAAGGAGAATTTAGAGAAGCCAATTAACCTAACAGTCATGTTTTTGGACTGTGGGAGGAAGCCGGAGTACCCGTAGAGAACCCACATATGCTCAGGGAGAACATGCAAACTCCATGCAGAAACACCTCGTGCCGGGAATCAAGCCTAGAACCTTCTTGCTGCAAGGCAGCAGTGCTACCCACTGTGCCATTGAGTAAATGGCCCTGTATAATAATCCTGTTTAATGTGGACGCACTTATACTGAATATACCCCCATTCACCTTTTTCTTCCTTTGGCACCTTCTTTTCTTTTTGACTATTTGAGCCGATGTAACGATTACATTACTCCAGAGTGAGATCAGTAAAGTAAATCAATCAATCAATCCTGTTGACCTGCGGTATAGAGCTATAGCCACGAACACAGCGTCACTGTGTTGCCATAGCAATGACTGCTTTCCCTTTTTTAGAGACTTAGACAGATTTTATTTGACTTTTTGTACACACAAGTCTAAACAAAAACTACATTTCGTTAAGTACAGCTCTCTAGACTATTTCCTTTTTTTAAATTGCAGGCTTGATAAGGTAAGCAGGAGTGATAAAAGCATTGTGATGAAAGAAAGTGCTGTAAACAAATGACTGTATAGTTACAGTTCTAACATTCAGTATTTTTTGTTTCTTTTTCATTTTTTTCCTTATTTTTAGTTAATTTCTTTCATTTTTTATTAAAAAAAATTTATATGTTAAAATAAATAAATAAATAAATAAATAAATAAATAAATAAATAAATAAATAAATAAATAAATAAATAAATTTGTTGCAGGGGCCTTCCAAAGCTTTGGGTGTGGCTTTTTTGCGAAATGCACTTGATAGTTAAAAGTTGGTAAGGAGGCGGCGTGGGATTCAAGCAAAATAGGCTTTTGCAGCGCTTAGCTGCTTGGGCCTAAAAAAACCAAAACAGTTTCCCACCGGATGTATGTCTGGGCGCACACAAACGCGTTGGTGGTGCTTGAATGTGCTTCCGGGTCAGATTGGGGTATAACTCAGCTGAGCCGGGAGATTCGACTTTTGACCAGCGTGTTTACTGTTGTATGGATCAAAAAAATAACCACTAGCCCACAGCGACATAATAAGCTAAAATTATATGGTGGTTAGCCATGTGACACTGTGTAGTTATTGGGAGCTGGGACAGCTACTGTTAATGGTAAGTGTTTGACTGTGAACTGTTTTGCTAACGGTTACACAACGACTGTTAATAGCAGCCTGCTAAATAACTAACTAATTAATCAAATGTAGCGTTTTTATACATGTAGGCTCCATTACTTGTATTGTAACATATGATATTTTTTCACTGCTTATGTTTACCGCTGTCAGAAGCATTATTTAGGAGGATGATCGGTATAACATACTATAGCTATAACTATATGCTTGGTAAACATGGGAAAAGCGCCCATAGATTTTAGTTAAAATTATGGAGAAACCATAAAAATAACCCGTTTGGCATGTTAACGTGACGCGTGTGTTCGATGCAAGTGAAAAGATGTCTATGTTTGCAGTTGTTAGCTTTATCTTAGCTTGCAGGCTTCGGTATTAGCGCGGTTTGTTGAGAGAATGGCCGCAGAGCTCAGTGGCAGCAGGGACTACGGGTGCCGCGATGCAAAAATCGCGCACAAAAATGTCCGCACTTTTTTAACTACTTTCCATACCAGAGATTATTATTGTAAATGTAAAATAAAACGAAGACACAAAATAGCAAATTTTACAGTGAAAGCTATAAACCCGGTTTTGCACCATTTTTTCTGGTTTAACATATTTTCTTTTTTTTTAAACAGTAATAAATGATATAAAACCTAAAATATTACATTGAGGGCAATAAACACAAAGCTGTAAAGATAAAAGAAAACATAAATGACAGAGGGTATATACCCGTACAAGGGGGTGTAACATCCATTGGTCAGGGACTCTAAGTTTGTTAAAAATTGTTTTCATTTTCATTTTTGATGTTTGAATTATAACTAAAAGGTTCTTGGAGAAAGTTGTCAATTTTTGGTTTGGAATTAGTTTATTTAGTTATATGAAAAAGTATTAAATAATGTGGCTACTCAGTGCCGTAACCACAAGACGGTTCCAGGTTCGATTCCCGAGTTTCCATGTTCTCCCTGAGCATGCGTGGGTTCTCTCCGGGTACTGAAGCTTCGTCCCAGAGTCCAAAAACATGACTGTTAGGTTAATTGGCTTCTCATAATTCTCCTTATATGTGAATGGTTGTTTTTTTGCTGTGTTGCTCTGCGATGGACTGGCGACCTGTCCATGGTGTACCCCGCCTCTCGCCCATAAACAGCTGGACATAGGTACCAGAACCCCTCACGACCCCAACTGGGATTAAATGTGAGATAAAATGAATGGATAAAAAAATGGATGGTTATATGGAAGTAATATTTCCTATAGAGCAGCAACAGTTCTATTTTTCCCCCTAGCTTTTATTTTCTTGACACTGTCACAAGTATAGAGCAACCACACAAACTCTCTGCATTTAGCAGTGTGGGGATTATGGGCCTTTGCTCAGGGAGCCAGGGTGGCAGTCTGTGGGAGTGGGGCTAAAACTCAGAACCTCTGGATTCCAAGCGCAATGCCCTAACCACTAGGGGTGTGAGAAAAAAAAGTTTTGGCAATATATTGTGATTTTTGGCTGCCTGATATATCGATCTTTCAGTTCCTAACAAAACAAAACATTTTTAGCTAAAACTGAGGGGAAATTGACTACCTCAGCACCACCACTCTATCAGGTGACACTGTGAAGCCCTTTAGCTTTGCGGAGCAGCTCCATATCTGTAGTTGAAGCACTCAGAGTGGAAAACGTGGACTGACTCAGGCCTCAATAACCAAATAACTAAATAATCAATATCTTCTGATGAAAATACACAGCACTGGCTTTTTTATCTATACATTTAATTTTGATAGGAAAAATATTGTTATATATAGTGACATAGCAATATTGTGATAATATCGGATCGTGATCCAAGTACCGCAATGCATATCACATCGCAACACCCGTGCCGATACTCACCCCTACTAACCACTAGGCTGCCACTCCCTCATTCGAATCACAACCTGAAACTAATACTGCAATTAGCAGTTTAACTTCAACAGTCAAAGGCAGCTCTAAACAAATGTGTTTTTAACTTTGACTTAAAACAACTTTGGATTTCAGCACTTTTACAGCCTTCTGGAAGTTTGTTCCAGCTCAGTGGAGCATAGGAACTAAATGCTGCTTCTCCATGGTTGGTTCTAGTTCTGGGTGTGCAGAGTAGATAGGAACTAGCAGACCTGAGTGGTCTGGGAGGCTGCCAACAAATGTGTTATGTATTGAGGCGCTGATCCATTCAATGAGTTATAGACTAATGGAAGGATTTTAAAGTCTATTCTCTGAGCTACAGGGAGCCAAATACCTTCTTTAATTTCTTTAAGATTAATTTATTGATCACACAGTGAATTAAGAGGGTTTTCAATTACTTTTTTATTTTCATTTTTGTCTTTAAGGAATATATCCATGTTTTCTTCGTTCTCTAAATTTTGACATTCTCTGTCATCCTCAATAAGTGCATCATTAATTTTAATTTTCCTAATAATGATTGCTCAAAGTTTCTTTTTTCTAGGTTAAAGGAATAGTACACCCAAAACATGATTAGCCTTCATTTTCTACTCACCCCCATGCTGAACAACAGTCTGGAGTACTTTTTTGATATCTCAAATGCATCTGGAGATCTGGGAGGCTTCTTGCTGTCTGCTGACATTCAAATAATGGAGGTGTATGGTGCCCGAGGCAGAAAGGTCCATAAAAGTCCACAAAAAACGTGTCAATATTCCTCCATGCTGCTCGTCCAATGTATTCCAAGTGTCCTGAGTGGGTAGCGTCCATAATTTACTCGAAACAAACTCATTTTGAATGTTTTTAGAGCATAAACAGTAGTGTATAGTATTTCCTAAAAGCGCGTTCACGAGTCTACGGAAACCGCGGCAGACCAAACCAGACGAAAGTGCGCGTTCAGCTCGGCAAAGAACTCATGCTCTTCCTCAACACTGAAGTCCTCAGACATTTTTCTTTCGTTGTTTCTTTCTTTGCACAGGTAAACAGCACATTTCTTCTTCTACGCTTGCATTATTGGCAGAGCAGACGCTGAATGCGCACTTTCATCTGGTTTGGTCTGCCGCGGTTTCCGTAGACTCGTGAATGCGCTTTTAGGAAATCCTATAAACTACTGTTTATGCTCTAAAAACATTCTAAATGACTTCGTTTCGAGTAAATTCTGGACGCTACCCACTCAGGACACTTGGAATACATTGGACGAGCAGTATGGAGGAATATTGACACGTTTTTTGTGGACTTTTATGGACCTTTCTTTCTCGGGCGCTATGGACCTCCATTATTTGAATGTCAGCAGACAGCAAGAAGCCTCCCAGATCTCCAGATGCATTTGAGATATCGAAAAAGTACTCCAGAGTGTTGTTCAGCATGGGGGTGAGTAGAAAATGAAGGCTAATCATGTTTTGGGTGTACTATTCCTTTAAATAAATACTTTTCTCCTTGTTGTAGCCATTTCCTTCTATATCTAATAAAAGCACTCCTGACCTTGTTTTCATTAACTGTATCTACTTCCAATTGAGTATTCTTAATCTTCTTTGTGTCCTTCAATATTTCCATTTGTTTTTAGATGACTAATATTCCTTTTGTCATTTGTGTAATAATTCGTGAGACGGTTATAGCAACTGACTAGATTTCAAATGTCATTATTTTTGAGTGAATTAGCTTTAGTCCAGTATTTATTAATGATTTCTAGGGCAGCTGTTTGGAATTCTTGGTTTTCTAGCAAGATTTCATTAAATTTGATTATTTCAAATAATCTGCGCTGTTTTTATGGTGAGTTTATTCGGCGTCTACTTTGACAGTGATGACCTTGAGGTCTGTAAAGGATTTATGGTTCATCTCCGAGCTTATCACTTTATTTACAACGTCTGAAAAAATCAACCAGAACTCAAAACGGGATTATGGAGATCTGTCCTTGTCAGTGTGGAGATTGTCTTCTAAATGTTTATTTCTCCATATATCAGTTAGATCCATTCTATTACCGATGGTTCTAAGTTAGATGTTCGGTTTCTCGGTGGCCAACTGTCCTTGTTCTTATCCATTACTGCTTTAAAATTCCCTCCCTATATAACTTTAGCTGAAGGGAATAAGGATTATAGAAGTATGGTCCTATTTTCTATTGTTGAAAATAAATTGATATTTTGTTTTTGGTTATTTAAGCCATAAATGTTTATTATATAAATTGTTCTGATCAAAATCAACTATTAAAATAATCCATCTACTAGTGGTTTCTGTAACTTGAGGTATAATGCTTCCTGTGTATTTTCCTTGTAGAACAGCGCCCCCTGCTGACCTGAGCTCGGTCTTTCATCGGGCTGGTTTGGGGTTGATGCTAATTAATTTCCTCCTTAAGGGGGAAAAGGATACCAGTGCATCTCTTCAATAGAACCCTTGTCTTTGATTACATCAGCCTCCGTTTTTACCTTCTGCTATAGAAGTTTTCCCTCCAATGTTTGTAGGCTTATTGTTATTGATGTAGTAAAAGCATAATAGTTAACTAGTTTCTTTTTTATTTGTAATTAATCAATTTACTTTTTTATTTGTAACTAATTTTTACCTCTAACTCCCACTAGGGGGACAAATTCGCTAATTGTAGGATAAAATGTCAAACTCAGATGGACTGTGTTGATTTAATAGACCAGTGACCACGACCCTTAAAACCAGCTTTACTGTGGGAACCACCACCCAATAAAAAGCATCCTTTTTTCTTACAGCTATTAGTATGAAATCATAGGGAGCTGCAAAATGTCGGACCACAACCAGAATCAGCAACATCTATAACAGAGGAAAAATGGGCTCTAGATAAACTCAGATCCACCATTATCAAACCGGCAGACAAATACGCAGCCATTGTCATCATAAGCCTCTTTACCACTGAAAATAGCCGTTTAACGCATGTTTTCCAAACGTGTCGAACCGGCATCTGGCTCCTCTCGCACGGGCATAACGCTACCAGAGTCCATCTTCTGCTTCATGTCGTCTCCCTTGTCTGCTGTTGTCAAGGTGATTAAAATATTTCACTCCAGCCCTTTAGGTAGCTGTAAAACACAAAAAAATCAAAATTGAATCTTAATACTGGTGAAAAATAATCGCAATTGAAATCCTTGGAAACCAATCCTTAGGCGGTATTTTAATTACTATCCAAGTCTTATCTCTCTAGAATCAAATATTGTTTTGAGCTTTTTTACAGTTTATCTTGGATTTTTCTTTTGCTTTATCTCCACAGGGAGCTTCCCACTTGCCTTTATTTCCTTGTTTACTTTTTTACCAATTAAATGCATGCTTGTATCTCTGGTCGCCTGAGTGATGGTTCATAAAATGCACTCAAAAGGGTCAGACTTGGACATGCTATTCCTGCAAAAATCTGGACATAAAATGTCAGGCAACGATTACTGTAGACCGGGTTCAGTTAACCGTCTGCTTGAGCAGAATGTGAAGTTTACCACGATCATTGAGATACCGTGGAGAATCGTGAACATGCACCATATTTCACTGGTAGAAAGTTGTCAGGGGTTCAGGAATTGAATTAATGTGTTGTTGTGTACACTCTGGTGTGGATATATAGCTAGTAAATATATAGTGTATACAAGCTGATTTACACTTTTACTTGCATGGGACTGCACACTATAAGCATTAAAAATTGTGAACAATCCCTCACTTTTATTTCTGCTACTTTCTTCAGATGGAGGCCATGGAGATGGACTCTACTTCGGCACCACCGGGTGGTAATGGTGAGCGGCCAGAAGCTGCAGATTCAGCTGTTGATGGCGCTGAGGATGCTGATGTGCCAATTGTCATCTCAGATTCTGGTAGCAGCACTGAGGTGGAGGATGACGAGGATGACAGCTCTGCAGCACAGCAGGCAGTTCAATCACCACTCAGGCTTCCTGCCACTTGGGCCTTCAGTCAGAGAACTGTGGATGGAGCTTATGCTGTGCCTTCAACCATTCAGGGGGCTCCAATAAGGAGGTCCCGCAGGTAGTGAAAGTTAGACTTGTTTTCCCAGCTGTTGGGTTTTGTCCGAAGCATTGGTACAGTGTTGAATCTGTGTTTGTGTTGCAGGCAGGGTCTTAGGGTCCACTACCCCAGCCAGACTGCAGCACCTTCGCGAGGGTTTCCAGACTTCCTGCTGCGAGCGCCAGCTGCCAGTACTGCTCAGCCAGAGTCAGGAAGCACTACTGATGCCAGTGAGTCTGAGGGTGAGGAGGAAAGAGAAGAAAGGCCAGCTGCTGGGATGGAGGTCCCTGTACCTATACCATCTGCCAGTCCTTTTCCCAATGCTTCCACACAACAGTCTCACCAAGAAGAAGCAAGAGACACAAGTAAGCCTGATGGAATTGATTTATTACCATGATGTTGATTGTGCTTAAAAAGTGATATTAATATGAGTAATCTGAGTTCTGTTTTCTTTTATCTTGTAATTTATGATTTTCTTTACTCATCTAATTTTCAACTGTATTTATAGGCCGCACAGAAGCTGTTTTAGCAGCAGAAGGTGGAGGGACGGGCTCTCATAATGAAGAACCAAAGGTACTACTTATGTAAAATATTTCGACCCAATGCCTTTATTTGGAGAGTTTTGAGTTTGATAGAAATGCTAGTTAAGCCCAATGTAGTTGAGCGGATTTGTATTTGTGGAGACAGACAGAGACACACTGTAAAAATGATCTAGAAATAAGTAAAAATATCTTAAGTGTAGTTTGAATAATTAAATAAGAGGATTTGCCAATGGAATAAGTATTTTTATAAGATGATTAGATAATATGCACTTGAAATAAGACAATGCAATTGTTTTTTCTTATTATGAATATAAATAGTCTTTTTCCATTGGTAAAGTGTCTCACCTCCTCAATTCAAGAAAAAATGCACTTAATTGAAGAAAAAAATGACGTATTTAGGTTAGATTTTTTTTTGCAATGCAGGGGTACAGTTGATGCTTTAGGCTTAGGTTTTAGGTTTAGGACTAAGATGTGAACTGAGTTAGGGTTAGGCATGTAGCCGTAATGGTTAGGTTTGGGGAAAGGTCTATGGTTGGGCTGTAGACATGTGTTGGTAATGAAAGAAAGTCAATGGAAAGGCCCCACAAGGATAGAGAAAAATAATTTGTGTGTGTGTAACCCTATTGAATTTTCATTCAGTTTTAACTAGTGTTGCACCGATACCAGTATTGGGCGGGGCCACAATCCAGCAATAAAAAGTTTTTTATTGCCTACCTGGAATGGGTGACAATAGTTGAATAATCTTTTGGCTCTCAAAATGTTATCGGTGCCCTATTTGTTGGTACTAGCCGATACAGATACCATTTTGAGAGCCAAAAGTTTACTCAACTATTGTCACCCATTCCAGGTAGGCAATACAAGCTTCTACTGAACTCACATTGTATTAGTCTGCCAACATGGCTTGAAAAAGCCATATTGGAAATTATTTTACATCCAAGTAGTATGCAGTTCTTTATTTATATATATATATACACACACACACACATCACTTTCAAACAGATGGTATCGGTATTGGCCAATACTGCACAGCCAGGTACTGGTATCGGGCCAAAAAATGGCATTGGCGCAACACTAGTTTTAACAGTAATGCCAAAGTAACAATGCCATTACCAGTGCATACCTCCACCTTAAATCAACTTTCTGTGCAGTTGTAGAAAATATTTATTTTATGCATCCACCAAAATGTTTTGAAATGAATCATTTTGACCTGCAGCCAGCCGTTGCAGCCCAGTCATCAGACCTAACATCTAACAGCGGCGACACGGAAGGAGATACTTGCACCATCTGCTTTGAGGCATGGACCACTGCAGGGGAACACAGGCTCTCTGCTCTGCGCTGTGGACACCTGTTTGGGAAGACCTGCATTCAGCGCTGGCTCAAGGCTCAGGGCTCAGCTGGTAAATGTCCACAAGTGAGTAACCCCAATGCAGCTCAGCGGAAAGTCAATCAGTTAAACAATAATACAACTGCAGGCTTTCATCTTTTTAGCATTTAATAGTTTTCTCTTTTTAGTGCAACAAGAAAGCAAAGCCGTCTGACATTGTGCTGCTGTATGCTCCAAAAGTGAGAGCCCTGGACAACTCTGAGCAAGAGCGTTTAAAAAGGTAAACATTTGACTCTTTGTTTCAACGGTAACTTAAGATGTAAGAGTAGAAACAAGTGAGGATCACAGTTGCCTCTCTCAAAATAAATTTTTGACATAATTTCATAAAGACAAGCTGTCTCTTAGCTACCCCTGGCCATTGGTGAATTGTTTTCGGATACAATCTGGCAGTGGCAAGTGTTAAAGAAAAACATATTGACTCATCGTTACAACTATCCATAACATCTACATGCGGTAACCTGCATAACATTATTTTTATATCCTGTTGATCAGATTTTATTATTGATCTTACCTGAAATAAGATGATTTAAGAGCCAGTTTTAAAAATCCAACAATAAATGCTTAAAGAAGTCTATGCTGCAAATGTTCATGCCATGTCATCTTTATATATCGGTGAAATTGTAAAGCTCGTGTGTGTCTGTGTTCAGATCTCTGGAGCTGGAGCAATCTCTGAGGAGGAAAGCTGAACTGGAATCAGCTGAGTATAAACTGAAGTTTCAGGCCGTCACCAGCAAATATGGACAGGCGCAGCAAGAGCTGCAGGTATAAATACCATATATTGTATTTACTTATAATTATTAATAAAATAAAACCATACTGGAGCCTACAAAAATAAATGACGGGGTCTTAGCAGATAACTTAAAGCACAATAACAGCTGATCCATGTTTTAGATTCTGTAGAAAGTCCAATTAAAGGTTTTATGGCTTACCCAATAGAATTACCCTCATATTTTTCTCTGTTGCAGCCACATTGTTTTTTAAACCTGCACATCTGTCTGCACTTTTTATAGGAACTAAAAGCATTGATGGCCCAGACAGGAAGAAGCTCGGCTTCCCCCTCATGCTCCTCTTCCTTCTCCCCTCTGTTAAGCCTGTCTCAGAGGCTGGAGGGCTCCAGGACCTCACAGTACAGCTTCTCTAAGGCGGTGCTGGTGTCTCAGGCAGGTGGCTGCAGAGTTCTGTCCTACTGTGAACCTCTGTGCTGTCTGCTTGCCTCGCAGCCATCCCCTCACTCCACACTAGTGCCAGGTAACTTTCTCATTTCCTATTTTTTTTCTAATGAGTTTATTTTACTGAATGTGTTTTGCTGCATTTGCTTCTTTTAGTTTTATAGAACTTGTTCAACATCTCTGTCTTCCTTAAAATGACTTTTGCATTTTCTTGACTGAAGTCATTTTTGCTATTTCCTGCTTTTCTAAACTGAAAAAAGAAACACATTTTCCCTTTAAACTTAGTTTTTTGGTATTGATGATCTCACCATTGTGCTTAATTATAGTGTAACTGTTTATTTATAGTATCTACTGTGACAGGTCTCAATGCATTAATGTGGCTTTATAGTAGGGGTGAAATGGGTATCAGTTGAAATAAAATGTTAGTCAAAATCTAAACCAGTTGCTGTTATACAAATTCCTTCTTTTCCTGCATTTATTTAAGTTTGCACTTTGAATCACAGTGCAAAGCTTGATATTAGAGCTTAGTACTCTAATTGAACTCCTCTGAAATAATGTTTCCTTTAAATCTTTTTATTCTCCATTAGGTTGTGGAGTGAAAAAGGTGAGCTTGGTCAACATGAAAGCTAGTCAGTATGTTCCAATCCACAGCAAACAGATAAGGGGTCTGTCCTTCAGCAGGGAGAACAACAGTCTGCTTTTATCTGCTGCGCTAGACAACACCATTAAACTAACAAGGTAAGCCTTTCACCATAGTACCTTATAAAAATGGTTTCTTACTGCTTACACCCACTTTACAGATGCTTTGAATTACACTGATGTATATAGAGCTTGGTGTTCCTAAACCTCCGTAAAAGACCCAGACAAAATATCATTATAGCAGGAAATCTGACAGCGAGGCTCAATCTGTATTCTGAAAATTGATAAGGACTCTTATGCTACGTTTACGGCGCACATAATGGAAGCTCAATGGTTGGCCTGCATCATGGCGCATCAAAACGTCCTGCAGCGCCTCTCATGAAGTCCAAGCTGCGCCTCATGAGCTTCTGACGCGCAACACAAGCAGCAGCTGCTGGAATTTAAAATTTTTTACTTTTAATGCTCAACGAGACACATCAACCAATCAGAGAAGCTGATCTGGGAGATCATATTGATAACCTATCAAAACGTAAAAGCATTGCAAAGCAAGAGATTTATATCTTTGTCAATACCATGTTTACATTATTATTATTATTTTTTTTCTTTTTTAGATTTAGCATCAGCAAGATCCTTTGCAGTTAGAAAACATTTGTAGTGAAACAATGAAACATTTTCTTTCCTCTGTACATGTAGTATTAGATTAATACTGGAGCTTTACTTGAAACAACAGGCAAAGATAAGTTAAGGGAAATCCAGAGAGTTAAACTGAAGTTGAAACTACTTCAACAGGATTCTCTTTCTGGTTCAGTCATTCTAAACATCTATTGTCGTGGCTTTAATCAGAAACACTTGTTTTGCAGTTTACTTACCAACACGGTGGTTCAGACCTACAAAACGGATAAACCTGTATGGAGCTGCTGCTGGTCTTTGGATAATAGTAACTATGTCTATGCTGGTCTAAGCAATGGCTCGGTGCTGGTTTATGACACCAGAGATACCAGCACACACGTTCATGAGCTGGAACCTCTTCGATCCAGGTAAAAACTTCTCTTCCAGTTAGTTATCTTGCTGATGAAGCAGTAGAATTTAACATCTTTTTATTACAACTACACTTCTGTCTGTTATTGAGGCAAAAGTTATGGATCTTTGGTGTTTCTAGGTGCCCAGTTGCATCTTTGTGCTATGTACCACGGGCGGCATCTAGCTCTTTCCCCTGTGGTGGACTTATTGCCGGATCATTGGAGGGTGCTTGTTTCTGGGAGCAGATGAATGAGACCACATACACACCCCATATGCTGCCTCTAGAGAGTGGTGGCTGCACAGATATCCAAGTGGAGACAGAGAGCAGACACTGTCTGGTCACATACCGGCCTGGTAAGACCCCATCTCTATGTTACAATCATTAGACACTGCTGCTAGAACCATGCAACTGAACAAATTATCAGTTTTATCTTCAATCACGTTGATTAAGTGGCAAATTTCAGCTGATGTCACCCCAAGCCACGTAACAAAAAATATTACATTTAGACAATTAACACTGAAAAAACCCAGTTAACAACATGCATTTTGATTTCATAATTTTGGATGGTCAGATCTAGGGCCATTAATCAATGGATTAATCCATGGATTAAACAGAACTAAGCACTGAAAAACCTGGATGCAGGTCGTGTGAACTGTTGTGACCTGAGAGTGTTTTCTTTTTAAGCTCAAGGCTGTGTGTAATTAAATGTTATCTATGCTGCAGGACGCTCTCATCCGACTCTACGATGCGTCCTGATGGCACTGACTCGCACCCCTCAACAGGACTCAAGCCAGCTGCCCAGCTGCTCCTGTTCTCCTGTGCAGACATTTAATGCAGGTTCATCCTGCAAATTGCTCACCAAGAACACGGTGTTCAGGAATCCAGACGGACATGGCATGCTGGTCTGTGCTGGGGATGAGGCCTCCAAGTCCACCCTGGTAAGTCTCTGTGTTTGTGCACTAATTTTTTATATGTATTAGGAATGGCTGAACTGTAATTAATTATCAATATATATTACAGAATAACTTTATTCAACAGCAGCAGTAATGCAGCAATTATTAATAATACATTAAGAAATAAGACAACAATTGATGGTCTCCCATGCTTTTATTGTGAAATGCTGACAGCTAGTCTTGACAGTTAATAACATGGGGTTGCCAGGGGTAGCGGCAGGTCCAAAGTAAAGGGTCCTGGAGGCAGGTGATTTACTAAATATTAAAGACTCATTCCAGCTACTTAATATGGTAAACGTGCCCACTGTTATATTCAATTGGATGACTGATGTTATGCAATAACTTTATATCAGGAAACAAGCGCTGCACTGACGTCTGCTGGATGGTGATGGGATGGTGACATCATATATTAAACAATGACTTCACTATAAGCATTAAAAAAAATGTAATGTTATTTAATCCCTCTGATGAGCCATGACTATGAGCTGTCAGATAAATACCACAAGACCTATAGGCCAAACTTCTTTCGAAGTCCACACAATACTTTTCTTAACATCATATTTATCATCACCAAAATCACAATTTGATTCATTTGTCATGTATTGCTTGAGTATCTCCCCCTAATTATAAATTCAAGCAATATTTTATAACATCTTAATAAATAACTTTTTTTACCATCATCAGCTGAAATTATGATTTCTTAAATTATTCTTCCTTAAAAACCAAATTAAACAACCTTATGTTCTGTACATATTGCAAAGGGCAGGAATAGGAAGGTAACTGGGATTCCCTGTTTGGAAAAAGAAAGTCAAACTTGAATTATTACCCAGGTTATTTTAATTTAAAAAGTTGTGCTATTCACGATAATTCATGGTGCTCCTAAAAAATTTTTCGTGCCCCTAAATGTTGTCATCTGGGAGCACTTGTGCTCCGGGTAAAAAAGCCAGTCCATCGCAGGGCCACACACAGTCAGTCACTCCTAAGGGCAATTTGGAATGTCCGGTCAACCAAACATGCTAGTTTTTTCACTGCGGAGGAAACCCACGAAGACACAGCAAGAACATGAAAAGGTCCTGGTTCTCCTGGGACTCGAACCCAGAACCTTCTTGCTGTGAGGTGATGGTGCTAACCACCACCCCATTGCTGCCCCAATCAAATTTAAATCAATTGTCCCACACATATTTTTGACAAAGTCTACATATTGAAAGTCATTCCATAAAAATTCTAAAAATAGCCACTGGACTTGGTTTTCAAGATTTGAAGACGTTTCGCCACCTCTCCAGGAAGCTTTCTCAATTCAAATGTCTGGATCCGCAGTGAGTTTGAGTCTTATATAGACAACGCCTTGTATCGCTTGGAAACAAGCAATGGTAACCGATGAATGGGTCGTTAGTTCCATCGTTAGCCTGTAATATCTGAACCTGTCTATGATTCTAGGGGTCGGTCGTTAAAGGGGGGATTGCCATTAAGGGGGGGGATTGCCATTAAGGGCGAAACGTCTTCAAATCTTGAAAACCAAGTCCAGTGGATATTTTTTGAATTTTTACGGAATGACTTTGACCTGGATGACTGAGAACCTTCATCAGTACATATTGAAAGTTTCATTTTAAAGTCACTGATATGCTGATTTGTACTGTATTGTTTCTTTGAGCTTCTATTTCATTCAGATTCTGCCTCTGTCTCTGAATTGGCTAGCACAGCTATTTTTTAGTCTTGCTTAATTACAAAGGCATCACACTGGGTTAAGGCCAATTTATAATTCTGACACATAGCCTTTGCAACCGTCAAATCTGTCTCTGTGCGTGACCACTCCCCCCGCGCAGAGGCTCTGCAGCCGTCGTGGAGCACCTCAAAAAAATTCCTGACTACACTTCGGATGGTCGCAAACCCGCACAGACCTCAGGCGTAAGTGCGCAGACAAAAAGCAGCTTTTATTGGTCCTTGGTATTCCTTTCCAGCTGTCTGTGTGGTCATCCTTCTCGATTTGGGGCCGGGAGGCGCCGTTTTTAAAAACCAAGGAGTAGGGTTGTCAAAAGTATTGATACTCAAAAAAGTATCGATACTGAAACGTTGTATCCGGATACAATACTCATTTTCAAAAGTATCGATACAGCCATCTAAAGTGCAGAATAGTGGAAAATGCATTTTCTCATCACTGTGTGATTGAATAATTCTGTGCATTTTTCAGTTTCAGACTTTTTTTGTAACAGGTACAGCTGCTGAGAATTATTTTATTTTAACTGGTTTGGCCAGTGTCATTGTTATGTGTGCAAAACATAGCCAAGGAAAGAACACTTAATTTTAATTTTGTAAGTTTTTTTATCAAGCTTGCTTAATATTGCGCACAGCATATTGTTTTTTTATTTGTTTCTTGTATTTTTTTTAGTAATGAAAATATTTCTGTTGAATTTTAGAGTCTTTGTTTTTATTCTTGTGGTATCGAAAATGGCATTGAGTATCGAATATTTTACTTAGTATCGGTATCGAGTTGAAAAGTTTAGTATCGTGACAACCCTACCAAGGAGTAATAACAACAATGGATAACCAGGACAAAAGGTTTATCGAGGAGGTACGAGGAAGTACAACCACTTGTACGATGCCTCAGACATGTTGTTTTGGAAAATAAACACTTCCACCGGCGCCGCCGAAGAAGTTCTCGTGAGTTTTTGAATAGGCTCCCCATTGCGCTTTGGCTGAAAGCTGCTGTGCATCCCTAGACATTCCACATCGACATTGCAGAAGCATACTAGCGAAACTGGTTCGCAACCAGATAGAGTTGTCACGATACTAAACTTTTCAACTCGATACCGATACTAAGGAAAATATTCGATACTCAATGTCATTTTCAATACCACAAGGATAAAAACAACGACTCCAATATTCAACAGAAATTTTTTCATGAATAAACAAAATACAATAAATAGATCAATACAATAAACAATATTTTGAGGTTGTATGCTGTGCACAATATTAAGCAAGCTTGATAAAAAAACTTATAAAATTAAAATTAAGTGTTCCTTCCTTGGCTATGCTTTACACACATAATAAATGACACTAGCCAAACCAGTTATAAAATAATTCTCAGTAGCTGCACCTGTTACAGAAAAAAGTCTGAAACCAAAAAGTGCACAGAATTATTCAGTCACACAGTATTCAGAAAGTGCATTTTCCTCTAATCTGCGCAGAAAATGAATGGCTGTTTAGGTGCCACTGGTGGTAGCACTGTATCGATACTTTTGAAAATGAGTATTGTATCCGGATACAACTTTAAAGTATCGATACTTTTTTGAGTATCAATACTTTTGACAACCCTACAACCAGACACAAGCGACATTTGATATGTGCGGTTGCAGAAGTATAATCCACGCTTTAGTATCGATGATGTCACCAGTGTGATCTGTCTAAATCCCTATTACCAGTGCTGCGCCATATTGTTGGTCCAGGACCAGGTGAGATCGCTCCTTTCAGACAGACGCCCCGGCGCTCTGGAACGATCTTTCGCTTTCCTTGCACTAACTTGATTCTGTTGATGTTTTTTAAGGCTGAACTGAAAATCTACTTCTTTAAGAAAGCATTTTAATTCTAGATTATGATTTTTTTTATAACCATGTCTTCTGTGATGGTAAATGTATTTTTATTTGTATTGTATTTTTGTGAGGCATTTTGTGAACTCCGTCTGTGAAAGGTGCTATATATATAAACATTACTTACTTACTTATCGAATGTAAACAGTTGTTTTGGCTTGTTAGAGCAGATGCGTCCGTTGATCTCTAAATGTTGACTTTTGGCAAAATAGTCACCTGTCAGTGACTCCGTTCCATCTTCTTGGTGTTCTTGGGTTGAAAACATTTTAACTGATGTTTGTGTGATTTGATTAAACTTATTGTATAATATGCCTTTACTTTCTGTTCAATCAGGACTTTTTAAATAACACTGCTGTCGTTTATTGAAACAGAGTTCCATTTTAGAAAATTATAATTTACATAAAATAGAACTACCCTGTATGATATGGCTGATCTATTGTCATCATTTGGGTCTGTCCTGTTCAAACTCTACTGGCTGATTGTTTTAATGTGGTGTTATGCTTTGCATCATTCATGGTTGTGCTTCTTTTCAGGTGTGGGATGCAGGAAGCGGCACTCTGCTTCAGCAGCTTCCAGCTGACCTCGCAGTGTTGGACATTAGCCCCTTTTCTGTAAATGGGGAAAACTATCTGGCTTCGCTTACAGAGAAGATGCTGAAACTTTACAAATGGAATTGAAGGACAAATTTGCTGTGTTTAAGGTGCAGATCACAAGGAACTAGATCTCATAAGAATAGCAGACATTAAAATCTGCTAAATATTATCTTCAACCAACAACCGAATTGACCAAGTTGAATAACTTTGCTCCTATTTTTATTCCAGGATGGATGTTATAAGATTGTGTTTACATAAAGGTCGTTGTGATTTCTTAGAAAGCCAATCCTCCAGTAAAACTCTGCAGAGTTCTGTTTTAGCTGCATAGACACCTCTGATGCTTTTATCATGTGGGTCTGTTAAGGGAAAACATTTGCACTGCAGGTCTGTAAATTATGCTTACCGTCAAGCCCACCTAACTATAGGAACATAAAAGCTAAGACACGTTCATCATAAGTCACAACAAATTCTGCTACATCCCCCTTGTAATGGATCAACCAGTAAGTCTTTATCAGTTCATTAACAAACGTTTATTTTTCTGCTTTTTCTATATGTTTCAATTAAATGGGTTAACTTCTCACAGTGGAACTTTATGTGGCCAACTATTCTAATGTTATAAACCTAATTTCTATTTTTGGTAAAGTTATATATATATATAGATATATTTCTTACCAGCTGGTTTTGTACAACTTTGGAGTTAATAAAAATTGCCTTTTTTATTCTGGTTTTTGGAATGGTCTGATTTTATGTGCTTTGTGAAGTGTGTTAGAGGGCGTGACATGAAATGTGGACAATAGTTGATGTGAATTTCAGGATCCAGTCAGTCCTGCCAACCCCATCAACATAACGTTTTAGTTCTGATTACTTTTTTATTTTGTATAAGAGCCATCGCATAAAACCACAGCCTATATGAAGCAATATGTAAATATTTTCCAATATGTATGTATTTTTAAGAAAATCTAGTACATAGAACAATAAAACACATTATTCCAGGAGAACAATCTGTTTCTGCAAAGGGAAGAGTTAATAGGAGTAGTAGGGTGTTTTATTCTTTTAACGCCTATGAGCAGGACATTCATATTTCTAATGCTTGAATAATACTTCAGCTACTTCTAGAAGTAGCAGCAGATTCGAAAAGGAGCCGCTGGGATGAGGAGCAGGAAATATAGGATGTCCCTTCTATCAATCATAATGGACAATTTTAGATCTTTAGGAAAAAATGAGAAGAACTCCAAGCTCTAACCAGAATATCAGAAATGCACCATTATGGGTTTTACTGACCTGCTGCTTCAGGATCATATCTCCGGTGCATCTCTGCTTAGCTTTCTCACCGTACGATCAGACGGAGGTTAAGAAGACTGGAAAGCTCAATGGAGTTGGATTTTTAGTGCTTGTGAAAAACATATGTTGTCATCCAGGACATGTTGTTGTGAAGATTTATCACTGCAGTCCAGATACTGAACTGTTTTTACTTGGTTTCATTTTTTTGCCCCGAGAGTTTACCAGTATCATGTTGGTAACCGTTCACATTCCACCTCCTGCTGTTTGTTTTTAAAACAGATCAGGGGAAATAATGAGCCATGGAAACTAGAAACTCCTGTTATACACTTCAACCTTAACTATTTGCTCACCTCTATTTTCCCATGACAAAAATAGCTAAAGTGTCATTAATGGACCACAGATATCCACTCAAACTACAGACAATAGGAAAGACGGACGTCAAACAAACACAAATGAAATGGTCAAAATATAAGAGATCAACCTTCCCAATTATTGCTTGCAAATTTTTCAGGGTTCAGGAGAATTCCTGGAACCCTCCCCATCTTTACATCCTGTAACTGTGTCAATGGTAAAATGGCTGCTTTTCAGTCCATTTGTCTGCAGGTGATTTTCCTCTAGCCAATAAACAGCAAAACAGTTGCTATTCTGCTGTAACCCAACCTTGGATAAAAGAGGAAATCTCTTAGTCACATCTGACCAAAGAATCAGAATACTGCAGCAGCCCTTCCAGGGCTGAATGCTGCAAGGAGAAAGGGGGAAAAGTAAATGGTTAGTGGAAGGAAGGTTTTTCAGATGTCTGAAATGAATAAAAATAACGTTTTTTTTAACTTTTCCTCATTAAGAAGACTTTCAGTAGAGGAGAAAAAAGTTGTCACTCCATTTAGTCCTTCAGGAACCTTTAAAAAAAAAAATATATTTTTTCTTACCCAATTAAAAAACAAAACACTGCTTTCCTCCAAATTTAATTTGATTAATTCCTCCAGTTTGTTGATTGATTAAAAAAAAAAGCCAGTGTATTATTTTATGCCTTACTTACATTAATAATTTAGTTATTAGCTATCAGTTATTAATTTCCCATAAGGGTTTGGAGTTGTCCTTTCTTTAAAAGGGGTCGAAAATCAAAATACATTATTGATACCATTATTATCACTTAGATTAATTCAAGGTTTAAACCATTTGCCTTTAAACAAATTTTAACCAGTTTCTCTCTCTGGGTGAGGCGATTTCTTGGAACTTCATATTCTGTTGGAACTGCAACAGTTTCTAATTATCCATAAGTAATTTGCCCATAATCAATATGCACACCAGTACGCTGGTGTCAACCTGCGTTGACACCAGCATTTCAACGCAGGTTGATTACTGGCGTCTCAGTAAAATCAAATCTCATCCTGGCGATATCTACAAGCCTTCCCCCTAAATGCCTCCCTTCCACATAGTACTCCTGTGAAGTGTCTTTTTGTTTACAAGTAGAAAAACCCAAATCTACCTTTGACCCCAGTAGAAGTTGTTACCTCTACATAAAATTTTAAATCCAAAACAATATTTGAGTCATGCCAAGGAAAAAGAACTGTAAGAAGATGGTCCAAGTACCGGTAACCTGAAGCCCTCTAACCTTTTGAGACTACAAACTGGGATGCTCTGCCATTCCCATGAAGAGAACATCAATAAAATGAGTGTGACTGAATATATAAACTTATGTTTTTACAGCACCATCCTTACTAGAACTGTGAAATGCTTCCCAAATAATAACCATGGATCACAAGTTATCCGAAAGAACTACTGATATAGCTTTTATGAAGGGACACGGGGAGTTATTGAGAAATATGAAGTAACTTATCAAAAGAAAGGAGGAATCCAAGAAGAGGTTGGAAAGCAAACTCTACAATCTCAGCGTCCTTCTCTTGCCTCCATACAAATGGATATCTGGCCCTGCTTTTATGCAAAGCTTCTCTTCTACACCTCAGGTATTTAATCCTCTACCTCTAACCTTGACTTATCTGCTTTCTATGGGTTAAACCTGAGCCAAATCAGAGGATGCCGCTCCCTGCACCTTTTACCTGTCTTTCTATAGATGTCAAGTAAAGTCCAGGTCCATATTAACCCTTTAAAACCCGATCCAACAATAAAACAAAACAGAAAATTAGTTTTTTGGTTTGAAGTCCTTATTTGGCCTTTTAACGAAATATGTAAAAAGAAAAACAAGAAATACATTTTTGATATTAATAATTTATTACTATGCGATAAGTCAAGATTATTTTTTGTGTAGTCTTCTGCCCTATGTTATCAGGTATATCTGATTGTGTACAATAGGATTTTGAGCAAAGTTTTTACCATTAAATTATGCAAAAGGTGTCAGATGCAAAACATTTCAGAAACCGTATCTATCAAATATGATACATTTGGCATTACAGGGTTAAGCTTTAATCAAACATTGACTTCAACGTAAGCATTAAAAAACGCAATGTTATTTAATTCCTCTGATGAGCCATTACTATGAGCTGTCACATAAATACCAAAAGACCTCCAGCCCAGACTTTTTTCAAAGTCCACAATACCTTAGATTACGTTTCCTCACCATCATATTTTCATCACCAGAATGATGTGCATCACAATTTAATTCATTTCATGTCATGTATCGCTTGAGTTTATCCACATATTTTACAAATCCAAGCAATATTACACCACATATTGATAGATAACATTTTTACTAATTACACAGAAGTTTGCTATGTTGAATTCCCTTCTGAGATATCAGTGAGCAGCTGAGTGTATTACAATAACTAATAAAAAGCTTAAGTTTTCTCTATAGTTATGCATAAATAGGGTTGGGCTTCTGGAGGACATAGAGACCACCTTTTTTTTATCATTCTGCTTAATCCTACTTTTATTTTTCAATTCTGCATTATATGTTTGTTGCATTTCTAACTTTTTGTGCTCTATGTGTTTTTTTTTTTCTTCTCATAGTTGCCTTATGGCTCTGACTTTTTCTTTTTTTTTTTACAATAAAATTCCCTCTTTCATAGTATTTTAGTCCGGGCAGATGGTAATTCTGCCTCTGACAGAAAATTAGGTGACTTCATTGTTGATTTTGAAATCGCCACTTATAAATGTTTAGGTTTTTATATATTTTTCTTTCTAATTGTTTGTGTTTTCAGCTTTTTATTTTACCAGAACTTATATTTTAAAGTAATTTTATTATCAGTAAGCAGTAACAGGCAAACTCAGCAGAGAAAAACAAGCGCACCCCTTCTGATGCTGTCGTTCTCTTGGCTGGAAAGGTTGCTAGGCAACGATCTGACTCCAGGGTGAGAGAGAAAAATACATCCTACAAGCAGGAGAAGAAAGTAAACTAGATGAGAATAAATATCTGAAGAAGCATTAGATCTAGGAAATATTTGATGGAGAAGAGAATAAAGAAAGCAGAAGTTTTGAATGTGAGCATTAGGAGATTTGAGTGCAAGTAGAGAAAATCCTGCTCTCAAATTGAAAAAGTTGATATTGGCAGGAAAACTCTTTGATAAATCTATTAGGTTCTTAGATAAATATGATGATTATAATCCCACTGAGAATTTAGATAACTGATTCCGAAAGCTGGGGTCATAACCCCAATGGGGGTCCTTGATCAACCAATACTGCAATGGGGGTCCTTGATCAACCAATACTGAGTCTTGAGATCTACACAGAAATTAATAACTGGTTAATTTCAATATATGTTTGTAAACCAATTGTTTGGATGATAACTCGATTATGGAACCCCTTCCTTTAGGTTCGTTCAAATCTGGTGGGTTTGAAAAAATTTTTTGTTTCACTTTAACTAACAACAAGGGAGAAAAATCTTAAAACAAAAGTGCATCATTTTATTAAACAATGTAAATGTCATTAGGCATTCCAAAAAAAAAAAAAGCATTTAAAACAGTTATTTATTTTTTAGAATGACTATGACCTGGATGACTGATAACCTTCACCAGTCATTAGGCATTGTAAACTTTTTCGGGCACATCTTTCATATTTGGTTAAGTAACAAATTAGATTATATAACCCCTTTTGAGATAAATCATATATTAACATACAAGAATGACATTGCGAAGGATTTATCTGACATGTTTAATATTGTTATAAGTATGGGAAGATATCATATACATGTATGTAAATGGAAAAATCAAAAACCTTCATTAATAAATTTCAAAAACGAACTAAAAATCTATGTTAGCCGACAAATATGGACATATACAAAAAACTATGTAGTGATGTCAAAATTTCTGTTTTTTGACTCAACAAAACACTAAAGTTAACATGATGCAAGGAACTGTCTTGTTGCAGAATGAGTTTGTCTCTTTTATTTTTATTTAATTCTTTTTCAAGTTTTGTATGTTTCCACTGGTTGTAATATTACTGCCTATTTATTTACTTATTTATTGCTGTTGCCTTGCACAAGTTAAGTTGATCTCCTGTATATAACTGTTATTTTCTCTTTTTTGTAAGAAAGGTGGAGATTCCTATCTGAAAATGTAAATTACCGTAATGCTTTTGTTCAATAAAAAAAGAAGAGAAAAAAAACTGTTTTGGGGGGGTTTCTTAGCACTTTCAGGCATACTTAATATTTAAAACATCTGTTCCTGTTTGGCTGTGACACCACCCTGAAGAGAAATATCATGTGCTGCTGCCATCAACACCTTTGTTTATAGATGTTGGTGATCGGCCTGTTTTTCAGTGTAGTCCTGTTTCTCTGACTGTGACTGGCTGGATGTGCTCTCTTCATCCTCTGACATGGGAGCGGGCTCAGAGCTCGCCTGTGTGATTCCTGGACCAGGCCGCCTCTTACAGCCGCTTTTTGTATTTCTACTTCTGTCTCCTTGAACTCCAGTGGGCCTCTGCAGATGGCCGCTCACACTGAGCCTGGTTCTACTGGAGGTTTCTTCCCGTTAAAAGGGAGTTTTTCCACTCCACTGTCGCTACAAGCATGCTTAGTGTGAGGGATTGCCTTCGAGTCAATGAGTCCATGCAATCAACTGGTTTTCCTTAGATAGAAAACTTTGAATCAATTTGACTGTATGATCTGGTAAACTGTAAAGTGCCTTGAGATGACGTGTGTTGTGAATTGGCATTATAGAAATAAGCTAAACTGCAACTGAACTAAAAAAAAAAGTTTTAATATAAAATCTAAAAACTAAGTAAGGTTCCATTCACGTTCACACACGAAATAAAAATGCTAAACCGGATAAAAAAAAAAAAAAAAAAAAAAGCTCATGTAGATGTCACAAGCAAAGCTGTCTACGTCATAGTACAATCTTTCCGAGTGTTCCTGAACGTCTCACTGGGATGAGTGGCTCGGTGAAAATGGCGGACTGTATACGTGTTCCTCTGATTTTGCTGGTTATGTCCCTCTTTTCATATTCACACCAACTTCGACTAGACAACGCCGACCTCGGTGGCAGAGCGGGTGCAAACGCCGATAAACCAGCAAACTCCGCCGCGGGTCTGGTAGCCGGGCTGAACCCAGGAGCCGCTGAGAGGAACCCGGCTGCAGGGGCCTTGGTTACACGGAGACGTTCTACCGGGTGGAAGCTGTCTGATGAGGCGGTGTGTAGGGATGACCTGACCCGGCGCTGCCCCAAACATTCATGGAACAACAACCTGGCGGTGCTGGAGTGTCTCCAGGACAAAAAGGAGGTAAGAGAGGATGCAGTTAGAGAGCAGCAGCAGCAGCAGGGTGTGCCTGCTGTAGCTTCGGGTCACACTGCTAGCTCCTGCTTGGTGAGAACGTCACAATACAGAACTGCAGCAAATAAAACTCGATTTTAAAATAGTTCACAGTATTACTGAGAGACTCAATGTGGAACAAACTAGAGATAAACATAAAAAAGGCGGACTGTTAATCGGGAACTGTGTGATAACAATTAGACCACCGGATATCGCATTTTATTTGGATAAGGCTAAACATTAAAATAAGTAATTATTATGTGGACCATTGTTCTAGTTTAGAATACTTGGTTATCTTTCGATGTGTAACAATGCCAGTTTTAAACCGTAAACTACAGGTAATTACTGTCACTGCATGAAAGAGACATGATTTTAAAAGTTCTTACTTTCTTTACCATATTACAGCAGGGGTGGAGCTAGATGGGGGGCCAAGGGGGGACACCCCTACCATTTATTTCCCTCTAATACAGATGGTGGCCAAACATTTCTATTTTTATATATATATATATATATATATATATATATATATATATATTCCCCACTGCCATTAGACTGTTGAATGATGTGTAAAATTAATTATTTTATTTATAAATATATATATATATATATATATATATATATATATATATATATATATATATATATATATATATACAGTCATATGTTTATATTACTTTTTTAATGTATTTATTACTGTTTTCAAGGCTGCATTGAAAACAGAATTTGAAAACAAAATTAAATTGTCTATAGCTGTTTTAAACAAAATTTCTTTTTGTATACACTCCCTTACACAAAATGACTAATGACTAATATGTTAACAGTTACTTGACAGCAAAAACGCAGTGGTTAATTATGAACACCAATATAATAACATTAAAGATGATTAATTCTTCAGAATTCCTGCTCTTTTCAGAACTAGATTTTGGGTTTAATGGGGTAAAGAGAGAATGATGTGTCTCTGTAAGTCATCTAGGATTCTTCAGTGAAATCCTAAATAAATAACAATTTTAATAAAAACTTATTAAATGATCAATTTATGTAGATATTAGTGCTTGTAAATATTAATTTTATGCAGATTAATGACTATCTACTTTTGGCCACCCCTCAGTGTACATTGGTTATTGCTTGGACACCCTTATTAAAATTTTCTGGCTATGCCTCTGTATTACACATAGTACACATTTTCTAGCACCACTCAAAGTGATCTTTTTACATATTCTTGTTTTTCGATGCAGAAACAAAGTATATATTTTTCCACGCACAACGTGTCAAAATAACAAAGTATTCTCCCCATTCATGGACGTAATTTCTTTTGGGGGAGACGGGAGACATGTCCCCTGCATTTTTTCAAACATCCATTTTGGTCTGCACTTTTTACTGTCCAAAAATAATGTTAAGTTTTAGTGCACAGATATCCGGTGAGCACTAGGATCAAGCGGAAAACGCGGCTCAAGCTGAGTTTAGACCGCCCACAAGCTCCTGATTGGCCCACTGTCTTTTCTTGTGTGATTGGCTGTCACCGCTGTCACGCCTGAGAAGCTCACTTTACAAACATCTGAACAAAATGCATCAGGTCTGTGATTGGAGGGTTAGACACCCTGAAGTTAGTTATATTTAAAAGATACTTGCCTCCCCCCCAATTTTGAAATCAAAATTTTATCCATGTCGCCATATTGTATCCATGTATCCATATCCAAGGTCTGTTTCAACTGTAATCGAAAGTGTGGAATTTACTGATATATTTTATATTGATCCATCGATTAAACGATCGATCCTTAAAACCCTGCTCTTTATTATAACTTTCTCTGGGCAGCATAAACTGTAACGCAAATATTGCTAAATATGAAATATAACAAGAGTTTCAGTAAACCTACCCCTCAATAAAATGTGTAAGCTACCTAATGTTGGGTTAACTTTAATGGAATATGAAATGGGTAAATAGACAGTTAAATTTAAACCGATAATGTCCAGAATTAAGCAACTGGGAGTTTCTACCAGAAACTCTGTCTATAAAGATATTTTTGCACTTACAAGCAAAAGGTCAAGTTCGTCTCTTTCATGTAGTTCATGATACTTTCTCACTCTAATTATTAGTGGTGACTCTAAACGTACTCTCTATGTACTTCTAAATGGCTAAAGCAGAATTTATTATGTGTTTTTGTCTGTTAAGATCAGGTTCATGCAAAGAAAGTTGTTTCTAGACTATACAAGGGTATTCAATAAGGGTGGAACGGTTCGCAAAATCCACGGTTCGGTTTGGTTCACTGTTTCGTGGTCATGGTTTTCGCTTCGGTTCGGTATATGTTTATTGTTACACCAAAACATTTATAAAAATTTGTGAAAAAATAAAAATTAATGAAAAAAATCCAAAAAAAATTAATGAATTGTAATTATTTTTAATGATCCGCGGAAACCATGGTTCATTTCCGCATGTTTTGCTGCTTTGAATTTAATCATCTCGCGCATGCCCTCTACGATCTCCAAGGAACTCGGAGCGGAGCGGACGGGAGCCACAGCGGAGGCTGTTGGCTTTGCTTTGTGCAGGCGGTCTGGAGCGGAGCGGGGCGGGGCGGAGCGCTGACGGAGTATGTGGGATTTCGGGGTTAGCATGACATGTTGGTCGTGTTGCTGTTAGCATAAACAAAACACTGTTGCACTTTTATCCACAACTTTCTTTCCGCCGTCATCGTAGGTCACTCTAAATGCAAAGTGGTCCCACACAGCAGACCTATAAAGTGCTGCTGGCGCGTCTTCCAACTCCTGTCCTTTCCCACTCGCCATACCCACACAATTCTCCACAACAACTGATTTTTTTTCTGCTACCCCTGGTTACGCTGCTTCGCTTCTTCTTCTTGTTTACTACTGGTGGTTGGCTTTGGTCGCAGTACCGCCACCTTCTGCTCTGGAGTGTACTCGCTTCGCCTATGAGAAAAAGGAGCCGCGCATGAACCAAACGCAACGCGCGAACCGAACCGAACGGTTCGGACGGTTTTCATAAACCGTTCCATCCCTAGTATTCAAGCTTCTAAACAAGGTGATACGGACTACTTAAAAAGCAGATGGATAAAATAATCTAATCTGAAGGCTGGGAACAGATCAACAAATCCCACTGGATGACCTCGTTCTCCAATCATATCGATGGAGTTCAGTTGGAAAAACACTCTTGGGTATTTTGAAACTCCTGCTCAGACAAAGTACCTGATAAACAAAGATGGTTGTTGCAGACAGATGAGGCAAATTATTGCCCTCTTTTCTGTCCAGTGGTTAAACTATTTTGGGGCAAATAGGTAATCACTAAAATATCGTTTTTAGTGAGTGAATCCCCTGAAGATCTGTATCTAGCTGTTATTTCATTTGATAATTGTCGGATAAAAAATGTTACAGCAAGCACAAAGACGATACAACCTGAAGCACCTACAGTGGATGAGATTTATACACAGGAGATTTATATTCTGGAGAAACTATCATTCTCTGTTAGCAGGCAAAATGAATCTTTTTTTTCAAGATCTGGTCAAAATGTACAGACTATGTAAAATCAGTAATCCCCTAAGTTTGCCTGTGACATGGAACACACTGCCATATCTTGTATCCTTTTTATGTTTCGGAAAATTTATAATTTTGACTGTCATTCCCCAAAATGAGAAGAATCAGACCTAAAGCCTCCCCAACTTATACTGGTTGGTGTTATTGTAAAAAAACAACAACATTGGATTAGCACATGTTGATTTTCTAACTCGCAAATGTGCAGAACATTAAAATATATAGAGATCCAAAATTGATGGCACAACTTCACCCATTTCCAAAGTGCATGAAGAGGTCAATGAACTGGTGAGGAAAAAACTTCAACACTAGAAATGCAGTAATACACCTGGATGATGAAATATGGAAGTAAATCTGTGTCGCTTGGATTTGAATTAAATATGCCACTGAAATTTAAATGTTGTATGTTTGTACTTACCTTTTCAGTGTTAAAATATATTCAGAACACATTTTTGACCGGTGAGTTTATTACTTTCATTTTTCTGTAGTTGAGTTAGCGTTAGCTTGCATGACCGGCTCCGTCATGCTGGTTTTCCTTCAGTATGAGCGCCACAAGCGTCACGTCACGTCACGTCACGTGACTAAGAAAATGTAACGGGATTGGCTGGTTGTTGGACGCCACAATCCATTGCTTATGTCTGTGATCTGAAGTAACCCTTCCCTTTGAATTTAGACGCCGAATTTAAGACAGTGAAATAGAGCCAGTTTAATCCCAGGAGGCTGAAAATATTAAGGTTGAATTTTTTTATATGCAGATTTTTTAAATATTAAATATTAAACTGAAAAATAAGTATTGAAAATGGAATCACTTTGAAATAGTAATGTGAATTTTTAGCTTGAAGAGAAAATAACAAATAAAATTTCAACTGTGTAGGAAAAATGACAATGATTTTTTTTTAGGTCAAAAATGTGTTCTGAATATATTTTAACACTGAAACAGTAAGTACAAACATACAACATTTACATTTCAGTGGCATTTTTAATTTGAATCCAAGTGACACAGATTTACTTCAATAAAATATAGACAAATTTGGTTTGGTCATAAAATCCAGTTGCATGAAACTCTCCAGAAATAAATGGTGAAAGAACAAAAAAAAAAAAAAAACAGAATTACATAGTAATTAACCCTTTGTAATAAAATAACAATCTCTCAGGCAGCAACTTAATAAAAACAACTATCATGTCATTTGGAGCATATGCGCATACAGCACGTTAAAGACCAGAGGAAAAACTAAATAAAATGCTTAGCAGATAAAGTCAAGTAATGAAATATGATTCTCAAATATTCATTGGAAGCATAAAACATGTTTATCAAACAAACGCATCATAATGTTGATGATAATATTAAAGGAATAAAATGGTGGCTAAACGAAAGATAAAGTTATCACTGCTGTCAAATAGAACAAAGCCTGAAATTAGACCTTCCAGAG